CCTGCACTTTATAAGGACACAGGGATTGCATTTATGGCTCAGCTCACCCTGATAATGCAGGGTAACCTTCCCATCTAAAGATCCTTAATTTATTTTATTTTTTCAAGGATTTTTAAATTTACTTTTAGAGATAGGGGAAGGGAGGGAGAAAGAGAGGGAAAGAAAAGCAATGTGCGAGAGATACATCAATCAGTTGTCTTTCGCACACCCCCAGCTGGGGACCTGGCCCACAACCCAGGCATGAGTCCTGACCGGGAATCGAACCAGCAAACCTTCAGCTCACAGGCCAGCACTCAGTCCACCAAGCCACACCAGCCAGGGCAAAAGATCCTTAATTTAATCATTGATGCAAAAACCCTTTTCTAGAATAAAATTGTATTATTTACAGGTTTCAGGGATTAGCACCTGACCTCTTTCAGTGACTGTTACCCAGCCTACTAGAGACATAAATACTTATTAAGTTTTTGGGAACTAACTACTTAATAAATGGGACTGGAAAACTTTTTTTTTAAGCCAACAAGATAAGACAACAAGTGCTCTGTGAATCTAGAAACTTTGGGAAATTCTGATATAGAAGACTTTCCAACTAATTCAGGCAGGAAATGATAGAGACTTGGACTAGGGTGGATATGGAGGAAAGTGGTCAAAAGCAGACTGTTGTAGATACAATTTGAGACCTAGGCAGGTGGAATTTGCTGATGTCCTGGATGTGATGTTGGACTGAGCAGCTGGAAAAGCTGCTTTATCATGAACTGAGATGAAGAAAATTATGCAGGTGCAGGGACCAGGTATTTTCTTCCCTCCCTCTCTCCCTCTCCTCCCTCCCTCCCATCCCTCCCTCCTTTTCTTTTTCTTTCTTTCTCTTTCTTTCTCTTTCTTTCTTTCTTTCTTTCTTTCTTTCTTTCTTTCTTTCTTTCTTTCTTTCTTTCTTTCTTTCTTTCTCTCTCTCTTTCTCTCTCTCCCTTTCTTTCTTTCTTTCTTTCTTTCTTTCTTTCTTTCTTTCTTTCTTTCTTTCTTTCTTTCTTTCTTTCTTTCTTTCTTTCTTTCTTTCTTTCTTTCTTTCTTTCTTTCTTTCTTTCTTCTTTCCTTTTGAAAAAGATACACATTCCTGACTACAGACTACCTATAGACTCTCCACTTGCCCACAGGCTTATTCCACATCTTTGGTGGCTAATGTAACTCTACCCATGAGTCCTTTAGGCTGTTGTGTTTTGCCTTCTTATTCAAAACATGGTGTGGACCAATTTAGACCAATTTAGAGTTGCTATGGAAGACAGAGGAGAGCCAGAGAGCCTTGTCTGACCCAGAGTCCTACAAAGGTAGGAAAAAATGGGACTCTGCTTTGGGGAACTGAAAATTATAGGGACTCCAAATTAAAACTAATTATGTCAAAGGATGGAGCAGAATTTAAGAAAAATAGATGCTGCAACAGAGTGTTTGAATTTCCTCAAACCCTCTCCTGGAAATAGATCAACCCAGCCAGGGTACCCATGGGCTGCTTTTACTAGATACTAGAAACCCCAGAGTCAGAGGGTGGAGGAGACCCCCATGACAAGACACAGCTGCCTGGTCTCAGAATCCACCCCAGAAGTAGCGGCAGAAAATAGGAATCGTCTGATGGACTGACAGCAGGAGTCTTTTAAAACACCAGCAGCACTCACTGGAAAGCACTGAAGGCCTATTTGAGGAAAGCAGCTGAGACTGGGAGGAGCTTTGCCCAAGCCCAAAGTGAGTAAGGACAAGCGGCCAGGGAAACAGTGTGAGGGCCTGGAGCAGCCTGGACACCCTCTACCTTGACACTGAGCACCAGAACGCCTTTCCAGGCTATGGCCCAAACAGAGGAGACAGTGCAGGGAGGAACTGCAGACTCAAAGGGAAAAGGTCCTGATAAAAGTCGAGGAGGGGGAACAGAGCAAGGAAACCTCACATAGCAAGTCCCATGTTCCTGAATACTACATTAAAATAAATACAGAAAAGTTCCGCGAAAGTTAAGAAAGGGATCTTCCACCTGTCCTCCTTTTCTGAATACATTAAAACTAATTTTACCTAAAAAATAAGTAACAGAAAGGGATTGAGATCAAATCCCATACAAGGGTGATATGGGAAAAGGAGAATAAAGAGCAGAATAGGATAAAGAGCAGAATTTTCATCTTATCTACAAATGAAACAAGTCAGAATAGACAGGCCCACAAAACAGGTCAAAATAGTAACCTGCTATTTCAAAATGAGCTAAAAGACATTCAATAAAACAATGCAGAAGAAAAAAGAGCATGGTGGAGGAGAGAATGAGAAGTTATTATTTAAAGGGGACAGAATTTCTGTTTGGAATGATGAAGTTCTAGAACTAGTAAATGCTGGTAAAAGCTACCCATGGGTGTTGGGTGTGGGCTCATCTGTTTTCATGACAGAGTTTGGGGATTTTCAAAATATGTCCTGCACCATCCATCTTTCCAAAGTGCTGCTCAATCTTTTGACATAATTATTTTAAATTTGGATGGCAATGATAGCTGCACAATATCATGAATGTACTTATTGTGACCAAATTGTATAATTAAAAACAGTTAAAATGGAAAATTGTGTTATGTGTATATTTTACCATAATAAAAAAGGAATGAAATAACAACATAAATCAGAATGAGGTAAGATAATAGAACTCAGGACAGATTTAAAAATCTATTTAAAAATTTCAGAAATGAAGACTAAATTAAATATAAAATGAGTAAATGAACAAAATAGATTATACTTAAGGGGAACAAATAAAAGAATGAAATTTTTAGAAATCAAAAAGAAGATAAAAGCATCTAGGAAATGTCAAATAAAAAAGATAGGAAAAAAAGCTTGGGTGACTTTAAAAGAGTAATACAAAAATACATACAAAGATTTAGTATATCATAAAATGACATTTCAAACTGGTGGGATAGATCCATCTGTAAATTGTGGTACAGATGAGTTGGAGTGTAAGTACTTTCTCTGGAAGCATCCACAGCATGGAAAACTAGTGTCTCTAAGAGAAGAGGGAAATTAGTGTCTGGGGAACTTTGGGGGAAAGGTGAATTTTCACTGAAACCCTTTTGTACCTTTCTAAAGTTCTACCATGTGAATCTATTACCTCTGCAGTCTGACTTCTTGAGTTCAAACCCCAGCTCCCCTAATTGCTGACTCTTAATCTTGGGCAAATACTGGACACACTCCAAGCCTATCTCCTTATCTGTTAAATGGGGTGATTAAGGTAGCCTGGTGCTGGAACAGAATGAACTCTCAATAAATGTAAATTGCTAGTGGAAACAATTCAGATGTCCATCATCTGACGAATAAACAAAGTGGTAGAGCCATACAACAGAACATTATACAGCCATAAAAAGGATTAGACTGACACATGCTACAACATGGATGAACTTCGACAACATGCTCAGTGAGAGAAGCCAGACACAAAGGTCACATATTGTATTATTCCACATATATGAAATCTCTGGAAAAGGTACATCCATCTAGACAAAAAGCAGACTAATGGTTGCAAGTATCTGGAAGGAGAAGGAAACAAAGAATAGCTGGTAATGGTTAAAGGGGTTTCCCTTTGGGCTGGTGAAAATGTTATGGGATAGATAATGGCGATGGTTGCACGAACTGTGATTGCACTAAATGTCTTTGAATTTACCATTTAAAATGGTGAATTTGATAGTATGTAAATTATAAATCAGTAAAAATAATTATTACAATGTACATTACCCATTTTCAAATGATGATGATTCCCATCGCTCCCCTTCCCCTATTCCATCCCCTTTCCTGCTCCCCACTCTGCCCCGCCCCCCGCTTCCCCCAGTGGCCTCACAAGGCCTCCCTCTGGACTGACGCCTGCGCCTGCGTAGTACAGCTGTTCAAGCCGGGGCCCAGTGCGCAGGTGCACTTGTCGCTCCGGCCCCGTGGCAATGGACGGTACCGTCGTTTTTCTCGTGAGCTTCGGTTGATGGCGGTGTTTAGACAAGGCGGCACGTGTGGCCTGGGTCATGAAGGAGGCCCTGGATGGCCCCTCAGTTAAATCTTAGGCTCCTCCTGAATTTGATCTCATCCACCGGTAACGTGGGGATGCTGTGCTTCGAGGGCCACGCTTCCCCCCAGGGGCCCTTGCAAATACTGAGGGCTCGGGAACAGGCCTCAAGTTGAGGCTTTGCGCCACTGCATGCAATGTGACCTCAGCCCTTTGCTGAACTTCATGAGTAGAGTGACACAGTGACACTGGCTTTGCGTGTTGTTGGGAAGGTTGCCTGAAGTAGTGTGTTAGTGGGCCTGGTGCACGGGGGTTGAGTAAATGGTGATTTATGCCCCCTCGCCTGTTCTGGGTAGGCCTCCTACCACACCAGTTCACTTGGCTGGGCCCCAGGAAAATGCTAAGCCCTTGCCAGTCATCTGATAGATTCCTCTGTTTTGTACTCATCTTCCTCAGCTACAGTCATGCATGGATATACAACCCAAACCTTTTAGAAATATGTCCTGAATTTGTTTTCTAATATATATATACTTACTTGGCGATCATGAGACATAAGGCCAGCCTCCATGGGAGACATTTTACATTTCTTTTGGCCAACCAAGAGTCATCTTCAGCTATGTTCAACTCTATTCAAATTTTATTCTTTTAATCCTAACTTCAGACCCTTTTCCCTCCTCCTGCCTCTTTTTATAAACCCCTCTCATCTCCCCTTTTTCCCTTTATGGTCATAGGCTAAGTTCCTTCCTTTTTCCTCAGTTCTTACCCCTTGCGCCTCATTCTCCCATCCAACTTTCAGTATTTCATTTTCATGCAGCCTTTGATCCCCACCCTCACCAAAGAAAAACCACAGTGAACAGCATCTCAAAACTCAGAAGCCTTTTTATTACTCATCTACTAAGTCAATTACATTTTTATTCAATTTTATTAAGTTTTAAAATATATCAGAATAGAGACATTTATATGTATCTATGGAAAAGTGTTGGTATGCAAAGTGGCACCAAAATGCCAGCATCTCTTATATCGCATATCCATAGTATCGAGAAATTTCCATTTCTTTTTCCCTTTCAATGAAATATTGCACTTTACCCAGAGCAGTGTATTTGGCAGCATTCTCACGCTCTAGCTGAGCCATCCTCTTCATGGCCTCCCGCTCTGGCCTCTGCTCCTCCGTGATGGGCTTCGACATGGCTGGCTCAGGGACAGTGGGTTTCTTCCATGGAGTTGGTTGGAAGGCGAAATCCTGGAGTAGATATTTGTTCTGAGGCTTGAGTGGGGACTGGGGCTTGGTCACAGCTGTGCGAATGGGCTCCCGTTGGAAAGAAGTGCAAGCTGATGTTTTGTAGGTCGCAGGCCTAGGAGCAGCAGACTGAGGCACACTAGGGCAGGTAGTGCTGCTCAAATCTGGTCTAGATGGGTTGGTAGAAAGTGACCAAGCTGGTCTGGCAGGACCTGTCGAAGAAGCAGGAATTGGCTGGGATGAATTGAGTGCAGCAGGTTGAGCTGAGTTAGAACCAGGCCGGGCAGGGCTGGTCAAAGCTGGTCGGGACGGGTTGCTCGACGTTGGCTGAGCTGGTCTGGCAGGACCTGTCAAAGGCGCAGGAGTTGGTCTGGATGAGTTCACTGCAGTAGGCTGACCTGAATTAGAGGCAGGCCGGGCAGGGTTAGCCACAGCAGGCCGACGCTGTGCCAGGGATGGTGGCCTGCGAGGAACTGGTCGAGCTTGAGGCTTGTCCAAGTTAAGAAAAGGCAAAGGTACCAGCTTGACCTTGCCAGGTGGTGGCAGCTCATACTGAGATGGAGATGAACACTCTTTTTCAGCGCTGTCATCTGGTTTCTGGCATTTGACTTGAGATTTCTCAGGACCTTTGCCTTCACCCAAGGTATCCAACCATCGTTTGGTAGGTGGGGGTGACTGGTGGCCTTTAGGGTTGCTTGAGATTCCCAGGGCCCGGGAGGAAAACAGTTCAGTTTTCTTATCAGGCTTCTTCCCTAGTGCATGAAACACCTGCACAGATTCCAGCATATGCATACCTAGGCAGGTCCGAGGCTTTTTGAAGGTCTCCTGGGTCAGCTCAGGTTGATTTCTCTTCCTCTTCATCTTGGGAAATGTTGACTTCTCTTCTGCCTTAGGTTTGCTCCCTGACTGCTTACTCTCTTCAGCTTTCTTGGAGTTGTTGTCTTTGTTTCTTTTGTTCTTTTCCTGCCCATGGCTCTTAGTTGCTCGGTTCCTGCTGGACGCAGCTTTCTGAGGTTTGCTGTTAGAATGCCTGGCTGTGCTCGCAGGAGCCCTGTCACTGGCTGCCGCATTGCAAATACCCACTTCTCCCAAGCACACGCAGTCTGGGCTCTCGGGCTTGATTTTGGCCTTGGGAGCACCACTGATGGGCTCCGAGGCTCTATGTTTGTTCTTCCTGGCTTGATCAGAAGGAGCCTTAATGACACTTGCGTTTTCCTGTACCTCGTTCAACTTGATGTCTCTGTTATTTTGGGCTTTGATCTCCCCAGGCCCTTTGGATTGATCAAGGTCATCCAAGGGATGTAAGATCTGTGGAAGGTGAATATCCTCCACCAGTGTAGCAATGTCTGCAAAATCATCATTAGATTCAGTCCCATATTCAAGTATCTCTTGGTTTTTAAGACTGTAGTCAAGACTTAGGCTATTATCTCTGAGACCAGCATTTTCACAACCAGGCTGCTTTTCTGGGACTAGAGGATCAATGCAGGCCAGGAGCTGGTGAATATCAGGGGCTTCTAAAGGGAGCAGTGGAGAACCCTGGTTTTCTATTGGAAAATGGTAGGCATCGAGAGATTTTGAAAGGTTGTCTTTAATATCATCCAAATTATTATTCTCTTTCTGTTCTTGGCTTGGAGATGGAGCCAGTGCCAGGAGATTACTAGAACTCTGGACTGGAGCTACCATTGAAATGTCCCCAAGCGCAGCTGGTGGATTACTCTCGAGTGTCTGGATATTTCTGCTACTGCAGGCCTTGGGGAATTCTGGCATTTGTGGGAGACACAGTGTTTGGCTTGGAGGTTGCAATCCCAGGGATGACTCCATCCTCAGGGAACTCTCCATCGCTACAAAGGAATCAGGCATAGAAGTCAGTCCCTGGTAAGCAAGATGCTCCCAGTATCCCCAGTCACACCTCTTCCTACAATAGGGAAGGCATTTCTAGTAGCTCTTCTTAGGGATCATGGGCAGCGCCCTACACTGTGAGCTAGAGGGCAGCAGTTCTACTTCTTACTGGTGGTCATTTGATGTCGTCATTCCATGGTTTTCTTTGTATTTCACAGGGTTGTTGTGAATCAACTAAAAAGTAAAAGTGATTTTTAAAGTGTCTTAAAGCCCAGCATTCTCATAGAGAATCCTTTTTAACTCTCTCCACTGTCCTGAAAGAATAAGAACACTTCACACCACCAACTAGGAAAGGGAACGGAGCTCGTCCTGATGACATGTATCAGCACGGACCTTCTTAGCCGGCTTGCTTTGGATGTGATCTTGGACACAAGGTCTCAAATCCTGGCATAAACCAAGCGAGTGAGGGAAAGTGAAACCGGCATCGTCACAATAAGAGTTCTGAAATACCTTTACAAATAGACTAAAGCAATGAATCAGGGAAGGGAGTTCATTTCAGTGTGGTAGTGCAGGGGGGACTAATCAGGCAGGGCAGTGGGAAGGGTGGTATCCGTTGGTCCGCTCTTGGGGTTCTCACACATGGAGCATACATGGCTGTTATAGTGCCCCCCTTCCCATCTCTATCAGGTGTTCTCATAAAGACCCTGAAGTTGGAGACCACTCACTGAGGGTAGTAGTCCTTAAAGTCACAGCACTTAAATTCTACCTATCTGTGGACTCACCTCTTCCCAGCTTCAGATTGACCCTATTTTTGAAAGTTGACCTTATTCCTCTCCCTTCTTGCTGTGGGTACTCACCTTGAAAACTTGTGTGTGTGATGGGTTGAGCAGACACAGAGGAGTAGATTCCCGAGGTGGAGGCTGGTGGTATCACATTTGTGGGCTGGATCTCCTTTAGTACCATGACCAACTCTGGCTGATGGACAGAGGCTCTGCTCTCCGTGTAAGAAACAACGGAGCCATAGGATTGGAGGTAGGAGCCGAGTTCTCCTGATGGCAGAGGACCCAGTGGAACTTGATTATAGTAATATCCTTGACTTACTCCCTGGTAGGGAAGTGACAGGCTATGTCCCTGATTTGGAATATGAGAAGGTGCCACCTGAACAAGGCGAGCAGAAAGTGATGGACACAGAGAGGCCATGTTATTGGCATCTGAAGTGGTATCATACTGGGATGCCATAGACATGGAAGAAACACCTGTGTCCTGGCCAATGACAGTCACAGTGAAGTCTCTGAGTGATGATAACTCCTTTTTAGAGTCTCCTGTGATAGCCCACTCAAAAACACCAGGATTGCAAGCAGCTGAGGTAGAGATCTGGCTCCCGCCAGCACCTCCAGACAACACAGTTGCACTAGCATGTTGGTAAAGATAGGCGTTACTCATGAGTGGTTGGAAAGAGGTCCCAGAGGCTGATGGTAGTAGCCATGCGGAACTGACGGCTGAAGCAGGGACTCTGGAGAAATTGCAGACACTTCCTGTTAGGGAGGCTGCATTGTTCACTACAGGAAGAGAGAGGTGTGGAGAATCTGAATTTCCAGGGAAAGGTGGAATTTGGAAATTCTCTGTAGGGAACAAGACAGTGATGAAAAAAAAATTAATGAGATTGATGAACTCTCACTATGTTTGAAGAATACCCTTATCTTAAAATTGTTGCTATCAGTAAGCTTCTAATACTCATTGCAATATCACAAATCAAACAGTTTATGATGGTTGAAAATACTGAGCATTTGCAACTCTCTGTATTAAGTGCCTTTGCTCCCAACTTGGCAAAAATGTGCCAACGACCCAAGTTGTGTGGTTCACATATTGTTCTTCAGACTAGAAGCAACCTCTCCCTGCCCTACCATTCTCTTGAGCCTGCCCTAGTGTTGATTTGTATGCTATTTCCTAGAATTGAAGCATTTAAGAACCAGGAGTCTTTAGAGAACCTGTGTTCCAGCATTCTCATATTATTAGTGAGGAAACTGAGGCTCAGAGAGGTTAGATAGACTTGTGATGTCATTATGTTAGTGTCATCCCAGGTTACATAGCATCCTGACTGCCTTGCCAGGACTGTGCTCGGAGCATTACACAGCCACAAACTGGGAGCAACACAGCTTCTAACAGCGGTGGGTTTTTTTGTCCAAGGGTAAAAAGTATGGCTATTACCATTATAATCTTCAGTGTCTCATGTTGCCTGCCCATGTTATACTTAAAATTCACATGTAGCTCAGTCCAGCTGGTAAATATAAAGGGTTATTCTCACCCTCTTGAAACCTCATTTCTCATCCGTTCTCAAAGTGACTATGTGAGAGTATGTTTCTCAAGAAGTGTTTTTTGAAAGAAAAATATTATTTAAACTCTCTGAGCTTTAGGCTATTCATCTATAAAGTGCTTATAATAATAACAACAGCAATAATTCATACATGAACAAGTGATATATTACATAGGATGCTTAAGTTCTTGAAAGTCAAAGAGAAAAACTGTGAAAAACATATCACAGAACTAAAAAGATATGTATATTAATCAAAATTGAGGTGCGCAGTAAGGATCAAAGAATAATAAATTTACTAATAAATAAAGTTCTGTTTTACATATTCAATACTATAAAAGTGAATGTTGTATTTTATTTCAGTGACTACTATAATCAAAATACAGCCCGGGATGAAAGGTGATTTTGAAGGAATTCCCAGCTAGTACATAGGGACAGAGAAGACAGTAAAAATTGCTTAACAAGTAGAAAAATGCAGTAAATGTGGATGTAGAGGTAACCCCAATATAGACAAATATTTCAGTAAATTCAGCTAGCTATGAAGTGGAGAGCCAAGTAAGTGTAAACGAATTCCATTATTGTGCTCATTCATGTTTATCTGAATATTACCCAGCAAGTAACAGATAGTGAGTCCAGTAGAAATATATATTCCAATTAACAAAACCACATAACAAACACAGAAGAACACTTAAAAGTATCATGAAGTTTCTTATATTTATCTTAAAACCTAGAATAGAATGGCCTTCAACATGTAAGAATGTGTTGTACCCAAAGCCTTCAAAACCATCATTGCTAGATTCCAATTAAAAAAAAAAATCTTAATGTAGGAATCCTCAACAGACTCCACAAAACTGTTTATAGATAAATGTGAAATTGAAGATGTGGGGCTTGACTTTTCTTTTTCAGCTTAGGGAACTAAGATTTAAAAAGAGATGATGGCTGTTTATCAGTGTGTTTTCTGTGTTAGGAAGAAAATAACTGCAAAGGCAAAAACCAGCTTTGTCTCAGAACATACTTATCACACAAAAGAATTAGTCTTTCTGATTCAAGTTAGGATATATCATTTAAAAATATCTATTTTTATTAGACTAAACATCTACAAAGTTTCAAAATTAAAATAAAGTGCAACACTGAAAATGCTTTTTCCTCCAGGGCCCTAGATTACTAATTTTATAGTTTTATGTTTATAGGAAACATAATGTCTAAAATATAGTTTTTAAATGTTTACATCCAACTGTCAAATGCCATCTGTTTTCAGAGAGGTGACAGAAAAACACACACAATGGAATACAACATTTTTATAACCTCCTTTGCCCAGTGATAATCTACTCTGGCCTTACTTCCCTTCCTAGTCTATTAACATAAGCATTTGCTAAAAATCACATTTATTTTGCCCTACTCTGTGCAGATTTTACCCTATGCTATTTCTGCTTTAATTTAAAATCTTTGGTTTCCTTTAACATTCCATTACAAATTACCATTTTTGCTTGAGAGCTCCTCACGCTCTCCTCCTTCATTCTTAAGAGTTTCCCCTCCCTCTCGGTTTCTCCTGCTGGCCTCTGCTGATAAATATAGTCGTAAACTTTCTTACATTTTAATATTTTCCTTCCTATTCCCTAGTCCTCTTCATCCTCTCTACCTTCTTTCTCTTTTCACCTAGTTTAGGCAGAAAACTCCAAAAACCAGTATATATTACTTCTTCAACGGCACTAAATTTAAAATACCAAAGTAGGAATATTAGTGGTGGGAGAACATTACACATAACACACCCTATATATGTATATATTGCTAGTTTTCTCTATCACCTATGTTTTCTCTCTGTATCTGTTGAATCTCTCACAGGAAGTCTTGATTTCACTTTTTATAGGGGTGTCCTTTAAGATTCAGTATTAGAAAAAAAGGGATTAGAAAGAACAAGAAAGCTAACATTAATTATTACAATAAACATTAATGTAATAGATGAGGAAAAACAGATTTTGTGAGACATTCAGTTACTTGTCCAAAGACACATAGCTAGTAAATGTTGAAATCAAAACTAAAATTAACTCTCCAGATTTTTAGATCAATACTTTTCCCCCTTATCCATGCTATTTTGACTTAACTCCTAAATTTAGAGACAAAAAATATCTAATGAAAAGCTTTAAAAATGTTTCTTTCCCTACCTGGCATGCTGAGAGAAGAGGAAGTATCAACTGTAGACGCAAGGGATGTGGAGACAATACCAGATGGCTGATCGGCTGGAGCCAAAGAGCGCATGTGTCCAGTACGAAGGCCACTGGTCACACTGGTCACTGGTCACTGGTTACTGGTCATTGGTCAGTTGCGATGATCCAAATGTATTTACAAACAACTCCATGGAAACCCCAAGATTCCACCAGGTGGAGGTAGGTTTGGTGGGAGAATGATGTCACAAAGCAGGCAGTTTGAAGAGATGAGAGAGCCAATAGGGAGTCAGATTCCCAACAAGAAGACAGGATTGGGTGGAGGGAGTGTGAGGGGAGCGAAAGCAACACCTAAATGGCTGAGCTCTGGGGACCGATGGGGAAGTCCACAAGGCACAGGTCAAAGTCTCGCTGTCCCCAGGCTCTCACGTTAGGGAAAGAATCACGTCCATGTTTCTCATAGCCGTTCGTTAATGCCATCGACTAGTAGTGAAACTTATATTCTCTATAGTATATGGTATAACATCCATTTATCTTTATATATATTATTAACATCCTCAGGAAGAAAGAAACGGACATCTAGGTTGCACAGTTATGGTTGTTCTGAATGGGAAGTTTTATCAGACCATCTGATTAGTGAATTTACTACAGCTTTGGAGGAGCAGAGAGAAGGGCTTAGGAGCTCTTTCCTGTAACTTGGTTGAGGGTAAAATGAAGTTTGTTGAGTGCATAGGGTGGAGCATGACGTGGTCCAAGGCTCCCCGCTTTCAGCCCCTTCTCCTTGGACCTTCCCTTCCCTTCCCTGGGCTGGGCTGGGCAGGGCCTGTTTGGACTCGCATCTCTCTTCTGCTCTCCTTTCCTTTTCCTTCTCCATTCTCGACACCGTTTCTGAGGGGGGCTTTGATCCTGCATTCTCACTCTCGTGGGTGATGCTTCTGCCAACTTCGAGCAGCTGGTTCTTCCCTTCGGTGTCTGAGGCGTCCCCAAATGGTGTCTGCCCATGAGAAGCAAACACCAAAGAGCTAGGAGTCAGCTCGTTGCCAACCTTTCCTCTCCCAGCCATGGGTTGCAGTCCTCTCGACCAGAATTTGCCACCTGTGGCTCCTTGGCCCATGAAGCAATGCTGCCATCCTGTTCTTTTACACGGGCGAGGCATTCACGTATCTCCCCTTCTCTTCTCACGTAAAGTGTATCCGGTGTGGCAGTTACGGTAGTCTCCTCCCCCCTTGCAAACAGCCGCTGTAGAATTTTAGGCCTCTAGGATTCTCTGTCCGCCATGTTGGGGTGCAAGGCCAGGCGGAAATGAACAGGAGAATAGTTAGAGCAAGTCAAGGACATTCACAGGGAATAGGGAAGGGACAAGGGGAAAGTGTACGGAAAAAGGAGATTCGTGTGGATTTTTCGGTTTCTGTGAGGAACACGTTGACACACTGTGGCATCAGTGTGTATTAACAGAACAGACGGTTTACGTATTTACAATATCAGCTAGGCAGTGCAGCCACTGCCAGAAGTTCCATCCGTTAAAGAGAATAATCTTGAATGTATTTTCACTTTCCTTTATGTCATATTACCTCATTTGTCTCATTCAATGGTATGTTTGTAGAGTACAGGTTGCCTCTATGCCCTGTATCAATGCTTTGCTTTTCTCCAAATGTTTTTTCCCAGTCAAATTTTTAAAGATTCCGTCACTGTAAGACCTATCGCATGTTTTCCCTTTCATGACTCTATTTAGTAGCATGATGACCTTACTTGACCTCAAGGGTATTGAGGAGAAACTTAAAAAGAGGTGTGTGAAAAAGGCACTGCAGTGAGTTGCGCTGTGCGCCCAGCCTAAGGGAGAGATGTGAGCAATCAGCCGCCTTGGCCTGGGTTGCCTCTGTTTCTCTTCCCCTGGCTAGTGCTGCTCACGCTAACCACTCTTGTGGCTGAGTGAGGCCGAGTTGCTCATGATCTGTCCAGCGTGTGGCAAAAGAAGCTGTACTGTTGCTCGTGTGGAAAATAATACAATAATAACTAACACAGGAATTAACTCTGTTTCATACACTCACAGCTGGAAACCTGCATTTGTCCCCCCCGCTCATGGGTTAAGCTGCTTTTGGGGAGGAAACATAGGGATCTCGTCATTTTTTTTAAATGGTAAGCTTTAGGACATGCCTAGATCAATCTACCTCAGGGCTCTTTAGTGCCAACGTGTAGAAAGTTTGTGATGCAAGAGCCCACAGGAGGATGGCCCATAGGTGGAGTCTGCAAATAGACATATGTCCTTTATAAGCCTACTTTTGCTATTATGACGTAAGAGTTTTTTGAAAACGAGGTATGATGCTTCTCTGAGAGAAAATGGTGAAGGGTGTTGCAGTGTAAGGACGTGGCTTGAATTTAAAAATTGTTTGAAGGTCTTCCCCATAAGTTTCCTATCTCGCAGACTGCCAACTTCCATGTGAGTAGGATGTAATGTGAAGCTAAAATATATGCCAGACCAGTCTCTCATTTTTCTGTGTTCCCATGGGATCAAGGGAATCCATGGCTACTGCAGTTTAGGAAGCATCGTGTAAGATGGGAGCGTGCGGTAAGATAAATCCTGGCAACAGTAAAATGTTTCCATGTTAAAATACTCCGTTCCCACATCCAGTTCTGTCTAAACAAATTCTTAATTTGACCTTCACTCTGTGCCCAGCCTGTATACCAATTTGGTCTCCATAGTTCGGGGCCCTTAACTTTCGCTTGAGCACTCAGCATCATCTTATCTTGTAAGAGCATGTTCGGTGTAGGAGGAGGAACGTAGAGAAGTTTAGTCCAGCACTCTGAAACTCAGTGTCAGGCTCTACCTTGACCTCAAGGCTTCCTTTTAAGGTTAGGGTACTGTCTTGTCCCACAGACCCACTTCCTGCCTTTTGAGCCCATCGGGATAGTTAGGTCTTGTCGTGATGAGACATACTCAGTCCATCTACCAATGGGCCCTTTGTTCCTTTCCCTTTCTTAAGTCCTCACCTAAGGACCTGCTGATTGATTTCAGAGAGAGGAGAGGGAGGGAGAGAAACACGGATCTGTTGACCTTTGTGACACCCCCACTGGGGTCCACACCTGCAACTTGGGCATGTGCCCTGCCCAGGAGTCAAACCCATGGCCTAGTGGAACGATGCTCCAACCAGTGGGTTCACACCATGCAAGGCTTTCACATTTCATTGCCTTAAAGACTGGAATCCCTAAAGTCGCTACCTGGTAACTGGGGCCCTACCAGATACTGGTAGATTATAGTGTCCACCACCACTTACCTGTTTGGTGCTCCAAATACCCTTTTCATCTATATTTTCCATTCTTTGTTGGATTGACTCCAATCCAAAGGCCTACTCTTTACTAGCTCCCATACTTTCTGAAAACCTTAATGTGCCTATGTCCAGATTTTCTTGTTTCAGCTCGAACCGAGTTTGCTCCGACGTCAAGCTGTGTCTTTTAGCGAATTGGGAATATATGACCGATATTGCTCTTCCAGTTTCTGATAGATTTTGGCACATTTCATATATTGCCAAGTATGTAGGTATTTGTACCAATAATATGTTTAGTCCACTACACTCCAACTGTGTATTTTTTCAAAATTCCAAACGAGTATTTCATGTTTTAGCACCAAATTGGAAAGTGCCTAATTGTAAGTTTGCGAACTGTGCTGTGCTAGCCCACATATTCTTGCAAATAGCAATTTCCTAATATTAACCCATTTTTCATGGTGTGGACGTTTCCAGAATTTTAAGTGCTCGTGGATATAAACTTGGTTAGAACATGATTGTCCCCAAAACGTTAAAACTAGTGATCTTTTTACCTTTCGATGCAATCATGTCTTCAATCATTGACCTTTGTGACACTCATTAGACCCAGATCTCAAACGGTTGTGACGATTAGTAGGAGTGTATATAAGGTACTTTCAGAAATCAGAAACTAAAAAGTAAAGAATGAAAAACCTTTGCTAGTATAGTGATCTGCAGTTTAATCTGGAATGTGGGTGTCTGTTCTGCCTTCAGACCTACAGCAGGACATGCTGTCCTTTGCCGTTTCGCCGGTGGTGGAATTGAGAGGTTTTCTAACAGATACAGGTCTCCATGCCTGACGCTGTGTGGAAAACTGAGATCTGAGCTTCACTCTCATGTCTCTCAGGTATTGTTATTTTCTAAAGCGTAAGCACATAAAACCTGACACATGATAGGAACCATTAAAAGCTTCATTGTGAGTGGGAATATAGGTTAAGGCTTTATTTTGGGGGGATAATTAAGCAGTATCTTTCACAGTTTTAAGTTTGCATATCCTCCATTCCAGAAATTCTATTTTTAGGAATTTAGATATAGGTGTATAGAAGTTTAAGGATGTTCACATTGCAGCCTGTGTGAAGTGGAGGAGGGAAAAACTGAAAATGAAACTGAAAGTGCATCGGTATTGGACTGGCTCTATAAGTTATGGTACTTATTACAACCAGTGGATTACTATGTGACCCATTACAAACAATAGAATATACATTTAAGTGGACTGAATTGCCAAATTTTTTGTCGATACATCGTAAGGTATGTAGACAGTGTGCTGCTTTCTTATCAAATAGGCGATATCCATATGTGTAGAAATAAATGTTTACATACACTATTCAGAGAGTGTGAACGTAAACACTTGGAAGGTATCTGGCATGACCACTCAAGGAGCCGGAGGCGGGGAACTTGGCTGTTCTTTCCACGTGCTGCAGTATTTGAATTCGGAAGGGTACCTGCAGGAACTGAAGGACCTGTACTACCGGCCTCCGGCTGAGGAGGGCACCCTAACCCCCAGAGTCCTGTTTGCTGCTCAAGTTTTCAACCGGCCGGCCTGGTGATATCATCACCAAGGGCCGCGGCGCTTGCGCACCAGCAAGGAGGTGGGGTAAGGGGTGGAGCTGGGTAGGTTGCTGAGTAGAAGCTTCCGGTGGAGGGTTCTGTTTTGACTTGGACTGAGTAGAAGTCGGGGCTCTGGCGCTCTTGGCACTGGCTCAGCGTTATCTTGGGTCCTACTTTAGCCAATGGCATCGTGGCCGCGGCGGCGGGCCGAGGGACGCGTGTTTTCTGGACGTTCCAAGGCCAAGAAGGAAACTGCATCCCTGAAAGGTAATGTGCCTTGGCAACAGGGGCGTGGCCCAACGTAGTAGTAGCTCTGAAGTCTGAGCTTCACCTCTTGCGGTCCCTGGCTGTGCCCGTGGTCGCCGTGCGCTTGGCCCGTCCGTCCAGCGCTAGGAGACTCTGACCCTCTCACTGCCCCGGGCACGGTAGCTGAAAGAGACCGCCTTGTGCTTTCCCGATTTCTCCCAGCCTTTTAAAAGCGAGGCTCTGGCCATTGCTTCTCGGGTAAATGGGAGGGACGGCTTTCTTAGATGGGACTGTCTGTTGGGGATAGCCATTAATTACCAAAATAGAGTCCCCCTTAATTCTAGACGCTGTGTTCTTGTGGCATGGAAACTGTGAGTAACGAACACGCAGTTTGAGTGACAAAGCGCACCAGTGGCGCTGAACTTCCCACCGAAAACGTGGGTTTGTCGTGTTAACAGAGATCACAGCGGGCATACTGTGGGGCTTCCTAAGAGGTCTCATTGGAGAGATCTTTTTCAGTGGGTTCGAATGATTCATGTTGAGGCTTTGCTCATATGTTCAGTGAACTCTTCTTTGTCCTTGAGACCTTCCTTTTCTCCTACTCATACCCCATTAAGTCCCCTTGATTTTGTCTCCTGAACATAGTTTGACAGCATCCGATGACAGAACCTGCCGGATCTGTCGCAGTTAGGTCCTAACTGGTGTCCAAGTGTCGGTCTATCTACTCTAGTTTCCTTCGAATCCATTCTTCACAGAGGAATCTTTTTAATAGGGAAATGGGAACATTGCTCATAAACATCTCTCAGAAATGTTGCTTCAAGAGTAAACGCGAAGTCTTTACCGTTTAAGATTCTGTGCTGTGTCGAATGCAGCCTGCTTCTTCAGCCCCAACTTGTGCCCCTTTTACCCTCGTTTTCAGCGCCTCGGATATACTGAATGACGCTTCGTCAGTTCCGATCATCTGACAGGAGTCAGCTCAAGTGTTCCTTTTCAGGGTGGCTGCTAGCATTGGGTGGAGTTCAGAGTCCCTTTTCTGTCCGGCTTCCTTTTAAAATAGGAACTCAGAATTCCCTCCTGCTCTAATTTGCTGGCATGAGTTGTATGAGGACTCAAAATAAAGTGTGAAGGGAAAGAATTGAGTTTAAACTATTTCCGTCAACAGGTATGTATTAAAGGCGCTTCAGTGTTCAGGCCCGGGCTAGGTTTTATCAGGGATATAGACGTTCTGGCCCCTCTGGTTTCAGATCTGCCTTATTTGTTGAGACGTGTGTAGTGTTCCGTTGCCTTGTATCTGTTTTCTAGAGGGGGTGGCAGGAAGAGGGAAGCACTGTAGTTTGGTAGGTGGGGGCGAAATGGTGGAGCATCCAAATGCGGAGCAGCGGGAAGGGACCAAGGTGTCTTCAGTCTGTGCCAGGGAGACAGGCTAAGAACATTTGGCTAACAGAATACGTGTTAACAGGTGGAAAGACTATCTCCCAGTTGGACAGAGGATGCCTGGGACTCGTTTTATTGCTTTCAAAGTTCCTTTGAAAAAGGTAAGCAAAAAGTAACCCAGTATCCTTTCAGAAATCTGAATTTACCGTGGAGATCACTGATTCTCCATCCTGTCATACTCCACGTTCTCTTTAGCCCATACCTTGGGTTTCGCCCTTTAGTTCCATGAATGAAATTCATTGATAAACTCAACCTACTTGCATACTTAGTTTTAAGGAAAAAAATCAGTGCATCGCTCTAATTATGAGAGGACCCCCCTGAAATCCGATATTTACTTCAAAAAGTGTACATTTAATCTCATATGTTTAACTTTAGTCACCTTCAAAGTACTCCATGTGGCACAACACACATTTCGAGACTTTTTTCCACCTCTCAAAACAGTGTTTGAGCTCGTCGATTTTGATACCTCTTAGTGCTTCTGCCATTTTTTGTTCTACCTCTTCCAAATCGGCACAATGTTTCCCTCTGAGGACTTGTTTCTGCAGGGGAAACAAACAAACAAACAAACAAAAAACCATGTCACTCCTGGTGCGATCGGGAAATGGGGAGGGTGACACAGGGGTCCTGCCGTTAGTGGTCAGCACGGTGGGGGCAGGTACGGCCGTAAACCTCCCATGATGAAACGGCAAAGGTCTGAAAGATCCTTCAGAAAAAATTCAGTGGAGCCAAACACAGTCTCTCACAACGACGCCAGCTGGTGCACTGATACAGATGTGTTCCTAGAACAGTCACCTAGCGGGGGAAGCTTGTATAATTCAAGGGATAAAGAAAATAATTTATCAGAAAGTATTGTGTATTTCCATTTCACTATGCGAATTATTTATGCATGAGTATAGTAGAAATAAAGTAGCTGGTGACTTGCACCAGGAATGCAAAAACTGCAAACTCCGGCTGATTTAGGTGGGTCCCATTGCCTTAATGATAGGCGTTTCCGTGACAGTGACCAGCTCTGAGTAGATTTCCGAATAAAACCCAGTTCGTTCTTCACTTGGTTATTAATATGGTGATTACTATTTTGGAGAATTCACTATACATTAAAACTGCAAAATAATTCAAAAACAAAAACTCTTTGTTTATTTGTGAAGTGGAGTTAGTTTCTAAGGCTTAGATAATTACCAACAGCTGTTTCACCAATGTGACAGTTGAGGAGGATACTCAGTAGTCATTCAAGTATGAGACACATTTGCAGGAGCGTTCTGATTTTGACAAAATGTCTAGCATCCATGACCGTACCTACTAGATGGCAGTAGGGCTCTTTGGGCCCAGCATCACAACGGAAAAAATGCCGTGGATCAGCATGGCAGTTCTAGGATTTCAGCATGGAAATTCTGAAAATTGTGGGGGCTTTTTTTTTCTTTTCTTCTGTTTTGAACTAAGAAGGGAATACGTGGGGAAAGCATTGGACTGATGTAAAAAAAGGTGAGAAGCAGTTCCATGTCTCATTCAACTTCCCAGCATAGCACGGATTAGCATCAGAAAAGGCCAACCTTAAATGTATTGGGAATTTATTTAAATTGTGACCCATAGGTACGGGTTCCTTATTCTCCTACTGTGTCACTTGTTCCACTTCTCTGGACTCTAAAATTTGTTACTGCACAAAGATAAACATGTGGTTCTTATGCACATTCGTGAAGACCAAGCTAGGATCTGACATACAGGAAGTATAAACAAATGTGTATGAATGAATAAATGGACTCCCTACGCACATTTGCAGTGCCTGTGAGTTTTCTGCTCTCTTCCTCCTCCTCTCTCCCCAGTTTTTCTGACTGCCCACGTCCCTACTCCATGACCGCTAACAGTGTTCTCCTGAGGTCCTGCAAGGGTCTGTCCTTAGCCCCTCTCCTGGCAGTACATGAGGAAGGGAGAAAACAGGAAGGCTCTTTCGTTTCCTTTCCTCCACACCGCCGCGGATCTTTCCTGCATGGCGTCATTATAAAGAGCCTCTTTTAGCTTTGTGTACGTAAGAGATTTTATTCCGTTGGGATGCTGAAGATACCATATGCCACCACCAGGCCGTATAACCACTCCCAGTGTAGTACCTATTCATGCAGTAGATTAGGGAGATGAGTTACCCCTTGCCGAAGTGAAATGGGACAGGGGTTTTCTGTGCGTTTTATGGAAGTCACCCAGGGAGAAGTCACCTCAATACTCGACAGTTACTTCTTAAGCACAGTGGAGTAGAAAATAGACTACGTTAAGTGTCAAATATATGCCGTGCCAAGAAATACCTAGGAATTCACAAGAGGGGAAATGATAACAAGGTTAATGAAGGAAGGCTTCCTAAAAGGTTGTGACTTAATTTAGTGATAAAAGATTAGTCATTGTGGCTCTGGCCAGTGTGGCTCAGTTAGTTGGAGCGTTCTCCCTGAAACTGAAAGGTTGTGGGTTCGATCCCCGATCGGTGCATGTACAATCCATGTTTTCCTCTCAAGTCCATGGGTTACTCTTCCTCCTTCCTTTCTCTCTCTCTCCCCTCCCCCCTTAACCTTTGTTCTAAAAGCAATGAAAAAGAAAAGTGTCCTCAGGTGCGGATAAATAAATTAGTGTTCAGATAGCTGGGGATGATCATTGATGCATCAGCTCCAAGTCTTCAAGGAACTGACTGGAGAGATCGTATCCCTTGCCATTAATTTACTCAGTTTCTTCAAACTTTTACAGTATTATGTGGAAGGCAACATCGTAAATCTGTTGAATCTCCCAAAGTTAATTCTTACACTTGACTCTTTTCAGATAGTCTGGTTCTAAAACTCATATAGAAAAACAAACACAAAAAGCTAGGAGAATTTTGTAAAAGCAGAACAATGGTGGAAGGGGTTCATGAAGCGCTCCTGGAATTTAAGCCCCATAAAAAGTGTACTGGAGGACAGGAGAGCTTTGGGGCAGTGGAACTCTTCTGTGTGATGCTATAAGGGTGAATACATGTCACTATAAATTGGTCAAAACCCATAGAGTTACAAGGCAAAGAGTCACTCATAATGTAAACTGTGGACTTTAACAAACGGTCAGTGTGGGTCCAGTGACTCTACTGAATGTGCCACACTAGTATGGAACGTGGATGTTTGGGAAGGCTGTGTGGGGCGAAGGGAAGATGGTGTAAGTGGACACTCTGTACTTTTCTGTTCAGCTTTCCTGGGAACCTAAGTGTCCTCTAAAAACTGGTAATAGCCATTAAAAAAAAAGAAACACTGTATTGTTGGCACATGAATTACCAATTAGAACAGTGGAACAGGGTATGCAGATAAGCCAAATACAGAAAAAATAATTTAGCGATAAAATCCATGCTTCATTTACAGGGTCTGGCACAAATAACACCCCTTTTTTATTACAAGATCTTCTATTACAAACCATAAGCATGTTATTCTGGAACATAACAATTTCACACTCATGCACACCATATGACATTTTAGGTGAAGTGTTCAAATGAAAACTATAAATTATTACACCCATTTTATTCCCCTACCAGCCACACTCAGGCAGGCGTTAACTTCCGCCAGACCCTGTGTGTTCACACCTGGAAGTATTTTTAAGGGCTGGTTCACAGGCATTGGCGTAGAGCCGGAGACACAGTGGTGGACAAAATGGACGTGTTCCCTATTTTCTTCCCTCCAGTCTCTCTGGAAGGGAGAATTGTAATATTGCTTGTAAACCCAGAGAAGTGAAGGCTTTCCTTTGAATCTTAGTGTGTGTCAGCATCACAGGGCTTGAATAAGTGGATCGTATAACAAAGGATTCTCAACACACATTGGCTGTTTTGTATTTCATTCTCTGTGACAGAGTTTTGAAGAGAGACTTGCTCCGGAAGAACGCTTTTCTCCCTTGGATCTTTTCACCAAAATCCAAGAACAGAATGAAGAACTTGGACTGATTATTGATTTAACATATACTCACCGCTATTATAAACCAGAGGTAAATGGAAATGTTAACCGAAGAGAACCTTCTTTCTGATAGTCTAATAATTCATAGTAATTAGTAGTTATCGCTTCAGGCTAATATGAATCCAGGCCTTCTTTCATGGGTTAACAGTTGACAAAGGGAAACCAAGTGGTTTCCTGAGTTAAACATTTTGAAATGCTGTCTCAAAGGGAGATCGAAGACATGAATTAAACTCTAGTGTTTGGCAGTAGGCTCTGTGTGTCCTTAAGAAAGTCTACAAGCTTCCGTGTTCTATATTTTGGAAAAGAAGTAAACGTTCAGTAATAATGGTAGTAGGCTAATAGGAAAGAAAGGACTATTCATTATGTCTTTTATTTATTTAGTTCGTTATTTTTAAATCATGTTTAGTCTATTAGAGTTGTCTTAGTTTTTTCCCCCTTCGCCCTCCTCCACCCATCCCACCCCCACCCCTGCTCCCACAGTCCGTTCCCACTCTGCTGCCCATGTCCATGGGTCGTTCATCCATGTTCTTTGTCTAGTCCCTTCCCCTTCTTTCCCCCATTGTCCTCCATCCCCATCCCCTCTGGTCACTCTCAGTCTGTTCCATGTTTCCATGCCTATGGATTAATTTATTCGTTAGTTTTTTGTCGAATGGATTCCACTTGTAGGTGTGATCATATGGGATTTTACTTTCACTTGACTGGCTTATTTCACTTAGCATAATATTCTCCAATATCACCCATTTTGTTGCAAAATGTGGCAGTTCCGTCTTTCTTTTTTTTCCTAAATGCAGATTGATTTTATTTACTCATTTTTTAAAATGTCAAAATCCATTATATAGTATTGAAAAATTTAAATTTATTATAAAGTCCCAGCAGTTAAAACAGCATGACACCGGCACAAAAATAATCAAGTAGATCAATGAAATAAAATAAACATTGTAGAAACAAATGTATACATCAATGGGGAAAGGAAGCCTATTCAAGAAATAAGGTGCATGGACTACTGTTACTTGAAATAAAACAAATATGGAGCCTTATTTCACACATTACACCAAAAATATTCAGGAGAGTTTAAAATCAATATGTAAAATATAAGGAGTTTTAGGAGAAAATACAAAATAATATTTTTCTTACTGTGAAGTAAAATATTCAAATCCAGAAGCTATAAAGTAAAATACTGACAATATGACTATATTAAACATTTAAGACTATACAGTAATACACATAGAAAAATAGTTAAAGAACAAGTGATGGAATAGGAAAGTATTTGCGACACATCTATAAAAGGGTTTATAGTTTTTTGGGTTTTTCTGGACAAGATTCTACAAACATTTACTCAAGAATGGATAAAGAATACCAAAAAGTCATTTAAAGTTAAGAATAATAGAAATAGGCAAGAAATACACAAAAGCAGGCTTAGTTTCAACAAATAGTAAAGGAACAATTAAAATAACACATCATTGTCACAACCCGATTAATAAGTATTAAAAATTTTGGCAATATCAAGTATTGGTGACTACGAAAGAAACTGAGTATTCAAAGACTCTTTCCTCATCTTATAGGAGTCCCTTTAGCATATTTTGCAGTGCTGGTTTGGTGGAGGTGTATTCTTTTAGCCTTCTTTTGTCTGGGAAACTCCTTATTTCACCTTCCATTTTAATTGAGAGCCTTGCTGGGTAGAGCAGTCTTGGTTGCAGGTCTTTGCTTTTCATGACTTGGAATATTTCTTGACATTCCCTTCCGTCTTGTAATGTTTCTGTTGAGAAGTCAGCTGCCAGCCGTATCGGGGCTCCCTTGTCTGTTACTACCTATTTCTCCCTTGCTGCCTTTAGGATTCTCTGTTTGTCTTTGATATTTGCCATTTTAGGGATGATGTGTCTTGGGGTGGGCCTCGTTGGGTTCCCCTTGAATGGGACTCTCTGTGCTTCCTGTACTTGTGTGACTTTTACTCTCTTTGAATTAGGGAAGTTTTCCATCATTACTGTTTCAGATGGGTTCTCTGTCCCTTCCTCCTTTTCTTCTCCTTCTGGTATCCCTATGATATGGATACGATTACGTTTCAGGTTATCCTGCATTTCCGTCAACGTCTCTTCCTTCTTTTTGAGTCTTTTTTCATTTTCTTGTTCTTTTAGGGAGCTTTTTTCTACCTTATCCTTCAGCTGGCCGATTCATTCCTCTGCTTCACCTAGCCTGCTTTTGATTGCTTCTGTGTTCTTCAGTTCAAAAATTGTATTCTTCACTTCCTCCTGTCTCTTATTGATTGTTTCTATGTCCTTTTTTGTGCTGATACAGTTTGCAGTAAGTTACTGATACTTTTCTGTTATATTCAGAACTACAGGATTTTTATTTAATTTGTTCTGGCTTTTATCAATACATACTTTCTCCCGCCCCAAGAATACCGGTTCTTAACAGTGCCTGAAATTTGCTCTATACCAGTTCTTCTGATTCTGTCGCCCTTTAAATGTAAAATATTGGGTAGAATTATTTCCGCAATTTCTAGTTACATATGCATTCATTCACATGAATTTTGCTTCCCATTTTATTGGCTCCATTCTATGGTTTTAATGAAAATGTAGTGATAATTGTTGGTTGAAGCAGCTTTGGAGAAAAATGGCTCTTTTATCTGAATGATCGACAGACTGAGTTCATTATAATCTCTTGTTTTATATTCCGGCTCTTCTAATTAACTTTTAATTGTTTCCCTGCAAATGAAATAATATACGTTTTCATGGTTTTGCCTTATAGGACTTACCAGAAACTATTCCTTACTTAAAAATTTATACGATCGGGCATCAGGTGCCTGACGATGACACTATTTTTAAATTTAAATGTGCTGTTAATGGATTTTTGAAAGAAAATGAAGATAACGGTGAGTTGTTCTTTTTCTTACGTGAACTTTGGAATGCATTTTGAACGGGGTTGGGGATTTTTAATATTCTTAAGTGCTCCTAATGAAACTGTGGTATTTCATAGTGTGGACATATCCGATGGTGGTAATTGAGTTAGGTGTTTGTCCTTTTGTGGTTACAAAGAAGCAGTTTTGTTTGGAAAGTGAGTTTAGTGGGAAAAATCAGCCAAACTAGCCGATTTCTTTTCTAAATATTTGCATGGGAAATATATAACGAAAGAAAAGGGTCCTTTTGTCTTACTTACTGGTTAAGAGGTGATTAGCGGGTGGAAGGAGAGGTCGAGATCTCAGCGTGTCGGAGGGTGTTTAAAAAACCCAAGCAGAAGGCAGCGGTGGGAGCGAGGCAGAGCCCCGGAGGCAGAGGCGAACGGGGTGGGCCGGAGTGTTGCTGCTCTTTTCGCACTTGGGGTGCAAGTAAGGAAGGTCATGGCCGCCTCGTGTTCTTAGTGCTCAGTCGGGAAGAACTAAAATAGGCCGGTGTTTTCTTGTTCCTGCTTGAAGATCTCCCTTCAAGCAGCTCTTAATAGCTTCTGAATTTCAAAGAATCGGTTGTCTTTTTCTGGCATCTGACTATGAGAGGGAACATGACGTTTGCCACATTTTAAGTCGGAGGAAACTTTCTTCTTTGGAAAGCCACACACACTCAGGACTAAGTGTTCACTTTGTCCTCTTTCTAAACTTAGCCTAAGGAGCATACACTTAATTAAGTAAATCTGACATAGAACTGTAAATATAAATGTAAATAGGAATATAAGTATGAATATAACTAAGCAGGGAGTAGAGGAGAAAGAGTAGAGGTAGATATGGGAAGATAGGGGATGGAAGGAAAGAGAGATGGAATCAGTGGGTTTTAAGATATATTTTCGAATTGTTACCTGTTCGGTTAATGTCGGCACTGGTTCTTCGGTATCTTAAGCCCTGATCACAGCTCTCCCCGGTACTTCTCATCTTGAGAGGTTGGACTTTGCCTGTGATAGCCAGAACGTACAGGCTCCTTTGTGTGGAGCAATAGTACGGTGTTCTTCAGTTTCCATGAGGGCTGGAGATCCATGTGAGTGAACGAGAACGTGTTTGTAAGCGTTGGTTGTTCACACGTTACACCAAGTGCAGTCGGTTGCATAGGGCGGCTCCACGTTGGTCTCCTGCTTGCATTGCGCTGACTCCTGTGTCCTGCAGCGCTTCTTGCCATTGCGGTCTCAGGACCTGCCCTGTGATCCTTTGGCTACTGTGCTGCAAGCCCCTCCCAACAGATATGAGGCTCACTGATGAGGAGGACCCTACACAATCCATTCCCTAGAAGTGGTAGACTCAGAAAAACGAATCGATCGGTAAGCACTTGAGAGGCTTTTGGGTGTATTGTTAGGGTGCAGGGATTTAGTGGTGAATAGCAGTCTTTGCTCATTAGAAATTTGAGTTATCTCAGGAGATGAACCTGCAGTAACTATAAGTCACTGCATAATTATAATAAGAGAATAAATTGTGTGCACTGTGGATACAGAGAGATTGAGGAAGCCCTTTCCGAGGAGCCAGCGTTTGAGCCGGGCTGGGGGAAGGGGGTTTGGGCAGAAAGAGGGAAGGACAGCTCAAGTGTTGGAATCGGCACAGAGCGCACAGGGCTTGGATTTGCGTCACAGAGATGCAGGCTCCTGTGCCACTAGAGGGTAGAAGGGCATAGAACTCTTATGGTCACATTCCACAAATATTTATATGTAACACCTTTGACGGTGAAGACACTGATCTAGGAAGTGGGAACAGAAGACAGTTCTTGCCTTTCTGTACTTCGCATTGTGGGGGTGGGGAAGGAGATAAATAAAAAACGAATATAGGACATGTCAGATGGTGGTAAGTGCTTTGTAGAACAACAAAACAATGAGGAGGTGAGGGAATTTGGTGTGCGATCAGGAAAGGCCACTCTATTAAGATACCATTTAGCAGTGGCTTAATGGAAGGGAGGAACCAACCATTGGCTATCTGGGAAGACAGGGCGGTGGGTAGTATTCCATAGCAGAGAGAATGAACAGTAGGTGGAAAGTCCCTGTGGCACGACTGTCACGACGTGAGCACGTTTGAGGAGTCGTGAGGAGGCCAGCGCAGCTGGAGTGGGGAGAGCGAGGTCAGAGCCATAGAAATCGGGGTCAGAGAGGCTGGCATGGGGCAGGTCCTTGTAAGTCATAGTTCAGATCATTGTGGACTTAGGGTTATTTAGACAGATTCAGAGTAAAAGGTAAGAGTTAAAAGTTAACTCTTACCCTTTAATTAAGAGTCCTAAATGCTATCCTAAATGCTTGGGGTTTATTTTGTGCCAACTGAAGATTTGTAAGCAAGGGAAACACCCTGGCAAGTGTATATTTTAGAAGGAGCATCTTCCAGCTGGAGGATGAATTGCAGTCGAAGAGAAGTAGGGAGGTAGTAATCCGGGCAGGAGATGATGAGCACCTTGTTACCCGACAGCGCCCAGTCACGGGCATACATTGTGCAGAGATCAATTACACGTTGTTTATTTAATTTCTCACAGAACTTTTTTCAAACAAAGGACCGAGGAATCCTATGGCAGAGTGAAAGAAAAATCTTAGACACAGTTCTCTTTTATGTTCTCTTTGCCCACTGTGTAGCCCAGGCTCACCTCTCCAAGCCTTGCTTTTTTGTTGCAGTCAGAACAAAATTAACGTACTTCACAGGGCACGTAGGTTCATGATGGGTGAGGAGCAACAAACGAGGGAGTGGACGTGCCTTGGGAACGCAAGGGTAGTGCAGCAACTGTCCTTCCTAATAATCGGTATTAAAAGTGAAGGCATTCCATTTGTTTCACTCTTCTCGCAGCCTATTTTTCTTTAACTCCCTTTTTCCGTCGTTGAATCAGTTGCTGATGAGCATTCCACAGGGTCCAGCAGCAGGCACGTCTGCTTGAGTGTGGTTGCAGGGAACGTGAACGTCTTGCAGGAGATGGACAGCTCTTTGAACATTTCACCTAAGATGTCGTATGGTGTGCTTGAGTGTGATATCGTTATGTTACAGAGTTACATGCTTCTGATTTTGTGATAAAACATTTTGTAATAAAAGCGGGGGGTAATCTGTGTCGGCCCCTTGATATTAAGATGGATGAGTTTGTCTCAGTGGAGTTTTACTCTAAGTACCTGACCAGGCCTTCCTCATTTCACACCATTGCACCGAATTGGGGACTATGCAGAATTTCCCAGAAACAATGAGTTTTGACTTTGTATTAGATCATTCTTTACAGTGTGTTACTGAAGGACTACATTTCTCCTCAAGTGTTATTTCTTTTCAGGGAGTGGTAGTGTCGTGGTAACTAGTAAATGTTAACTCTTCAGAAAAGTGTGTAAGTTGCTTTTAGGGCATTTAGTTCGTTTATTTAACTCTACATTCCCTGTTTTATAGACCGACTTATTGGTGTCCACTGTACCCATGGCTTAAACAGGACTGGCTACCTCATCTGCAGGTGAGTTGCCAAGCCCAAGAGGCAGACCTGCCTAAGTTGTTGTAATCTAATATAAACATGTTTGCTATATTGTTAGTAAATCTAAGTTGTTACGAACCAATTGCAAAAATGCAATCCATATAGAAATGTATGAGGCAGATAGCAGGCCTGCCCCCGCCCAGAGATTCCCACCAGTAGTAATTGACTACATGGTTTTTCAGACTTTGAAAATGCCCATAGAAACATATACATGCAATTTGATGGTATGATATTTAGACGTTTTGTTTTATAGGTTAACATATTGCGGGTCTCTTCCTCTAAAAGAATTTGGAGACCTCATTCTTTTTAAAGGCTGAATTGTTCTTTGCTTACTGATGAACATAAAAATCAGAAGATATAAAGATGTTGAAGTAATAAACATTCCTTTGTATCTGTCTTTGACTATATATGCTATTCATTTCAGTGAGAACGGAATTTCTGAATCAAAAAGTTTATGCCATTATGCCATGTTGGGGACGTTGCTGCAAGTGTAGTGACTTGTGTTTGTTTATTCAGAAAATACTTGTTTAGCATCTGTCACGTGTGAGCGCTGTGCTGGATGCTGGCAAAAAGACTTGTGAGACTTTGTGAGCAGAGAGCCCTCACCTGCCCTTTGTGGATCCTAACAGTCTAGAGAGGGAAGAGCTCACACACATGCATCTAAAATGACAACTTTGACAAGTGCCAAGAAGGAGAGGGACACGGTGTTTAGAGAGCATCTTAATGGGGAGGATTTGACTTCATCATGGGGATTAGAGAAGGTTTTCGTGGGGAGATTTGATCTGACATCCAAAAGAATAGTAGGTATTAACCAGATAGGGAGATGGGGGAGAGGATTGTGGGCATAAGGAAGAGGACTGTGGGCCCTATAAGGGGAGAGCATATGCTGTGTCGGAAGACCGGGCTCGGGAGGCGGGGCCGTGTGGGAAGGATGGCAGTAAAATAAAAGTAGGTCATGCAGGCCTGTGCTTAAGGTTTTAGGCGTTCTCTGAAGAGTAATAGGAAACCATCGAACTCTTTTCATTGAGGGTAAGTTAGTGTAGAACATAATCAGTTTGCAGTGCAGGGGCACAGAGTGGAAGCAGGTAGACAGGTGAGGCTTCCGTAGGAGTGGAGGCACAATGGCGGCTTGGTCCGGGATGCGTGGGTCATTTTGGTGGGAAGCTGTGGACGTATTGTAGAGATTGGGAGGTGATATCACTGTTAGGGATCGTGGTAAAAATGATGGTAAGGAGGAATGGCTGGCAGTGATGGCGACTCCTAAGTTTCTGTGCATACAGTCAGTAATATCTTTTAGATATGATATTAATATTTTCCCCAACTTGTCTTTTGCTCTTTGTTGATTTCTGGTAAACACTCTCTCATATTTTGATAAAATCGTACTTGTATTTTATCAGCTATCTTTTTAACATCTGCCGAGTTGGTTCTGTGTTTTCTATGCTTTTATTAATTAAAATATTGTGTTAATATAAGTAATTTTTTTAATAGATTTTCTAAAATTGGCTCATCCTTGCATCCTTAGAATAAAAGCTCTTTGTGATCGTGGTATGTCTTTCTGTAATAATTATTGGATTAGACGTGCTGATATTTCCTTAGGATTTTTATATTTACTTTTGTAAGTGAAATTGGACCTTCTCTGCAAAAACTTGATTTTTATGTTGTTTTGTTAGATATTTGATTGATGTAGAAGGCATGAGGCCAGATGATGCAATTGAATGTAAGTATGAGGAGTATCTCTGTTTTTCCCTTTTTATGTAAGTGGAAGGTAGAAGTGTAGATGAAGTTTTCAAATTTGGAAAAAAAGGAAAGTTTGAAGTTCATTTCTTGTGACCTAAGATTATCTTTTATCAAAAGTTTGTAGAAGGATGTATCTAGAAATATTGAGCTAAGACAGCCTGAATAATTAGTCAGTGGATTTTAGCTCTGATCTGCTTTCTCTGTAAAAGGTTTGCTTTTTGTACAGTTATTTCTAACAGTTCCTCCACTCCTTAGTATTCAATAGATGCCGGGGACATTGCTTGAAAGAGAAAACTACATTGAAGACCTTCAGAATGGTCCCATCAGGAAGTAAGTAGCAAAATGAAATTCGTGGTTCGGGAGATCTTTTTTTATGTCATTTAAGTGACACGTAGTCATTCTTCTTGTGCTTGTTTCCTTGCTTTGGACAGCCAAAACAAATGGGAATGGAGGGAGGGTGGGATCATTATTTTCATTGGTCAAAATATAGACAGTAAATTGGCTAGTGAATTTGGGAACCAGTAATATTGTGTATAAAAATCATTCTCTTTAAGGGACCGGGTTCCAATGTATCCAGATCAAGTGGTTTTGACTACTCAGCATATAGTCCACACCACCAATAATGCTGTTAACCAAGGATTTAGGAGTAACAGATATTGCACCCAAGGTTACTCAACACCTTCTTGGTATTTCCACACCCAGACCCAAGATTTGCAGCCATCAGTAAGGTATCTGCTTTCCCTTTTTTCTAGAATTGAAACAGTAGCAAATAGTATAATAAATTGGTGCAAACACATTAAGATAATGGTGAGGAACTGACATTTTCTTGATGGGCATTGCCAAGGAGGAGGTATCATTTCTTCCTATGTTGTGTTTAGGGCTGAAAAATCAAGTGTAGGATGGGAAATATGTGACTTTTCAGAGGCAATTAGGAAAGGGACTTAGAAATTTTCATTGTCTCTAAACTTTGTTTAAGTCCATGACTTGATATGACTACCAAAAATGATCTTGCATTCCTTGGCTATGTTCAAAGTGGTATAGTTTTCAGAATAAGGAAGGTTGTTATTTAAAGAGTAAGTATAAGTTATAGGGGAAATGGTAAACATTCCAGAAGAGAAATGTTCAAAGGATTTGAACAAATAAATCACAAAAGTATTTTCACTTGGGAAATAGGTAAGCCCTTAGTACAGGTAAAATAGCAAGGTTCTATTTTTTTGCCTGTTAATTTAGCAACAGTTTTTGGTAAAGCAGTCCAGCCTAAGTGGTTGTCAGGCTGGACCTGGATTTGCATTCTGGCTTTGCCCTTCACTTGCTATGTGATCATAGGTAAGATTTCTAAATTTCTATTCTTTACATCAATCAGATGAGAATTTTAATAGTACCTACCTCATAGGGGTTGTTGTTTACTCTTACATGAACTAAAAAGGTACTTTAGCCCATTTTAAACCCTTTCAGAAAGACATTAGCATTTTTAGAAAATAAAAATCTATTTTTAAAATGTTGCTTGTGCCCCAAAAGTCCATCAGTATTGAGAGGAGAAAATAACTGTGGGAAATTTACACGTGGAATTCTACTCAGCCATAAAAAGGAAGAAAATTCTGCCCCTTGTAACACTATGGATGGACCTAGAGAACATTATGCTAAGTGAAACAAACCAGTCAGAGAAAGACAAATACCATATGATTTCAGTAACAGAGCCAGCAAAACAGAAACAGACTCGTGGATGGAGAACAGATGACAGCTAGTGGAGGGGGGAGGTTAGCAAGTGGAGGGACTGAGCAAAAAGGCAAAAGGACTCGTGGACATGGACAACAGTGTGGTGATTTCGGGGTGGGGGTGGTATAAGGGGACTAAATGGTAATGGAAAAAATATAATAAAGATTATATATTTAAATAAAATGTTGCTTGTGTTGGTAATGGCACTGAAAATTGGTATAGTCCTTTTGAAACATAACTTTAATTCCATGGAAAATACTCATACTTGTTATTTCCACATAGAGTCTAAGGAAGTACTTTAAAATATGGAAAAAGTTATATTCATTAAATCATTCAGCACATTTCTCACTGCATACCATATCAGAAACTTGACTAGGTGCTTGGAATACTGTAGTATATGTTCTGAGATGTTAGGCCCAGCATTATTTATTGCCGTGAAAAAGTAGATAGAGGCTTACATTTCTAACAGTGAAGAATAGCTAGGTAAATTATGTCCATACTATGACATTTTATAAATCCATGGAAAGTGATAGCTCACTTATGATAAGTAAAATATTTGGTTATGATTTAAAAAGAGGTCTTTGAAAAAGGCACTGCGGTGAGTTGCGCTGTGCGCCCAGCCTAAGGGAGAGATGTGAGCAATCAGCCGCCTTGGCCTGGGTTGCCTCTGTTTCTCTTCCCCAGGTTAGTATTGCTCACACTAACCACTCATGTGACGGAGTGAGGCTGAGTTGCTAATGACCTGTACAGGGTGGGGCAAAAGCTGGTTTACACTTGCTCTTGTGAAAAATTAATACAGTAATTAATAAATAGTAATATAGGAATTAACACTGTTTCGTGCACTCACAACTGTAAACATAGTTTTGCCCCACCCTGTGTATGGACCAGGCCACTACAATTGAGAGTAGAGTAATCGAGACAGAGACAGCCTTGCCCACAAAGAGTAACAATTACCATCTGGCTGTTAATAGAAAATGTTACTTGACCCTTGATGTTGGAAGGGTTTTGTAGGCTATGCAGTGTTGGCTTTGACTCAGAAAAAGGAGGAGCCCTGGGAGGGTTTGAGCAGGAGGAGGACAGGATCTGACTTAACGTTTTGAAAGGCTCGTCATGGCGGCTGTGTTGGCACATTTTAGAGAGGCAAGGGTGGGAGCAGGTAAGCTGATTGGGACTGCGGTTCACAGGGTACACTGGGGTGCCCCCTGGACAGCACCACAAACTCACCAGGGTGTAGCAGGGTATTTTAAATTTTTAAAGGATTTACAGCAATACTTGACATCTGTCAGATAGCATGTGTGCTCTACCTAGTGGGTAGTCCACAGTTTTAACATTGAGTTCTGCTATATTCTTTTCACTGTTGTCATATCTAGTGAAGCTGAGTTGTCGGCAATAGCTGTAATAAGAAGCAGGCACTATTTGAAAATTAACCTGAAATAGGAAATGAGGCTGGCAGGGTCCTATTCGATTTTAAGGTGTGACATATTGTACAGTGCCCAGTGGTCACATATCTGCAGGTTACTGTGGTGGTTAAAGAGTAAAATGAAAACATTTTTAAATTTACACCTATTATATTTTGAAATATCTACTTAGTAGTTGGAGAATTGTATCATTGTACAATGGATAGCTTTATTGGAAGATTCGTCCTGAAGCTGTTCTAACAAATGATCACAACTGGGTGGCTTTCAAAAAAAGCAGGAATTTATTTTTCACGGTTCCGGAGGTCAGATCTGCAGTGGGTATCCCTGGGCCCAACTCAGGTGTCGGCAGGGCTGCACCCCGTGGGGGCTGTTGGGGGCGATTTCGTTCCTTGCCCCTCGCGGCGTCGGCCGGCTGCTGGCCTCGCTCAGCTGGTGGCAGCCCCACTTCAGTCTTTGCCTCCATGGTCACATCACCTTCTCTTCTGTCTGCATGAAATCTCCTTCTTCCTGCACTTTATAAGGACACAGGGATTGCATTTATGGCTCAGCTCACCCTGATAATGCAGGGTAACCTTCCCATCCTAAGATCCCTAATTTAATCATGCATGCAAAGACCCTTTACCTGAATAAAATAATAATATTTACAGGTTTCAGGGATCTGCGCCTGATCTCTTTTGGTGGCCATTATCCAGTCTACTACAGACATGCTTTTTAAATTGTTGACACCCAACTACTTCGTAAATGGGATGGTTAGGTATTATTATTTTTATTTTTTAAGCCTATAGGAAAGACCGGGGGCTCTGTGAACCTAGAAACTTTGGGAACCTAGGAGTGAGGCGGCTGTCCCAGTAATCCAGAAAGAACGTGATGGACAGTTAAACTAGAGAGGAAATGGCTGAATTTCCCCTCCAGAAGTGGATAGTGGTGGGCACAATTTGAGAGCAATGCCGATGGAATTCACGGATGTTCTGGTTGTACAGTTGGGAGGGAAAAGGAGGAGTCAGGTGATTGCAAAGGTTTCTGGACTGAGCAACTGGAGAAGTGGCTTTATCATGAATGGAGATGAAGAAAACTGCATGGACCAGGTATTTTTTTGGGAGGGGACGAGGGTTTGGTCTGGATGAAGGGGAATACGGGGCATTTTGTTTGGTACATATTTAGAAAAGATGGAAAGGAGGATGGAAAAGATACACATTCCTGTCCAGAGCCTGCCTAGACTCTCCACCTGCCCACACAGGTTTACTCCACGTCTCCTGGTGGCCAGCTGTCTTTCCACCTGTGAGTCCTTCAGGTTTCGCCTTCTCATTCAAAACGTGGTATGAACAAATGCAGACATGAGGAGCCATGGGAGGCAGAGAACACCCCGAAAACTTGCTGTCCCAGAGTCCTATGAGTCCTAGGGCAAGTGGGGCCCTGTTTTGGAGAATTGAAAATTACAGGGCCCCCAGATTTAAAATAATTATGTCAAAGGATGGAGCAGAATTTAAGAAAGATAGAGGCTGGGACAGAGTGTTTGCATTTCCCCACACCCTCTCCTGGAAACAGGTCAATGCAAACTGAATGCCCATGGGTAGCTTTAACCACAATCCTAGAAACCCCAAAGTCAGAGAGTGGAGGAGACAACTACCACAAGGTACACACCTGCCTGATCTCAGCATCTGCACCAGAAGGAATGGCAGACCAGAGGAAGCATCTGATGAACATGAAAGCAGGAGGCCCTCAAAAGGCAGCAGTAGTCACCAGAGAACGCTGAGGGTCTATTTGAGAAGAGGAGCTGGGACTGGAAGGGGTTTGGCTCAAACCTGAATTGAGTAAGTACAAGGGCCAAGGACAGAGCTGAAGGATTGCAGAAGTGTAGACCCACTATACCTTGACCCTGAGCACCAGAGTGCCTTTCCAGGATGTGGACCACATAGAGGAGACAGTACAGGGAGGAACTGCAGATTCCAAGGGGAAATGTCTTGAGCATGTTAAGGAAGGGGAACAAAACCAGGCATCCTCAGATAGCAAGCCCCCAATGTTTCTGAATACTACAGCAAGATAATTACGGAAAATTTCTGCGAAGTGAGGAAAGGGGTCATTAACTCCATTTTTCTTTAAATGGCATCAAACCTAATTTCACCTAAAAATGAATAATGGAAAAGGCTTGAGATCAAATCCCATACAAACGTAGTGTAAGAAAAAGGAATCCACTGCCCTGACTGTATTGGTTCAGTTGGTTGGATGTTATCCTACAAAGCAAACAGTGGCCACTTTGATTTCTGATCAGGGCACATGCGTGGGTTGTGGATTCAGTCCCCGATCAGGGTGCATATAAGAGTCAACCTGTTGAAATTTCTCTTTCGCATTGGTGTTTCTATCCCTGTTTGTCATCTTCAATTCCCTTCTCTCAAAGAAAACAAATAAATTTTTTTTTAAAAAGTAAAAGAATAAAGAGCAGAATAGCGCCCTGGCTGTTATGGTTCATGGATGATCTGTGGTCTTTGAACCAAAGGGTCACCAGTTGGATTCCAAATCAGGGCACATGCCTGGGTTGAAGGTCAGGTCCCCAGTAGGGGGTGAGCGAGAAGCAACCAACATTAATGTTTCTCTCCCTCTTTCTCCTTCCTTTCCCTTTTCTCTAAAAATAAATAAAACACTTAAAAAAATCCTTTTAGAAAAGCAGAATAGCATCTCCTTTGCCAATGAAACAAGTCAGGAAAGACAGGCCCACAAAACAAATCAAAACTGAAGCTGTTATTTCAAAATGGGCTAAAGACATTCAATAAAACACTGCAGAAGATGAAAGAATGTGGTGGAGGAGGGAATGGGAACTCATTATTTAAAGGGGACAATATCATTTTGGAATGATGGAAAAATTCTGGAAAATTTTAAATGCCAGTAAAAGATCCCCTAGGGTGTTTGGTTTGGGTTGATCTATTTTCATGGCAGTGTTTAGGGAGATTCAAACATGTCCTGCTCCATCCATCTTTCTGAAGTGCTGCTCAATCTTTTGACATAATTTAAGTTTGCATGGTAGTGATGGTTGCACGATATCATGAATGTACTTCTTGTGACCTATTGTATACTAAAAAAAGGATTAAAATGGTAAATTTTGTGTTTTTTATATTTTACCATAAAAATAAAGGATGAACGGACAACATAAATCAAATGAGGTGAGATGATAGAACTCAGGACAGAATTAACAAGAAAAGAAAAACTTCAGAAATGAAGACTGAATGTAATAGAAGAGTGAATGAACAAAATGGAAAATGCCTGAAGGAAAACAAATAAGGAAAGTGAAATTTTAGAAATCAAAAAGAAGATAAAAGGAATCTAGAGAAGCAGCAAATATGAAACTTAGGAGGGGGAAGCTAGGACGAATCTGAAGAGAGTAATACCAATGCATATAAGGATTTAGTATATCATAAAAGTGACATTTCAAACTAGTGGGATAGATCCATCCATAAATTGTGAACATATGTGTTGGAATGTAAATACTTTCTCTGGAAGCATCCACAGCATGGAAAACTAGTGTCTCTAAGAGAAGAGGGAAATTAGTGTCTGGGGAACTTGGGGAAAAGGGTGAAATTTCACTGAAACCCTTTTGTACCTTTCTAAAGTTCTACCATGTGAATCTGTTACCTCTGCAGGCTGACTGCTTGAGTTCAAACCCCAGCTCCCCCAATTGCTAACTCTTAATCTTGAGCAAATACTTGACACACTCCAAGCCTATCTCCTTACCTGTTAAATGGGGTGATTAAGGTAGCCTGGTGCTGGAACAGAATGAACTCTCAATAAATCTAAGTTTCTAGTGGAAACAACTCAGATATCCATCAGCTGATGAAAGGATGAAAAAGTGGTAGATCCATTCAGTAGAATATTACACAGTCATAGAATGGAATGAGGGACTGACACACGCTACAGCGTGGATGAACTTTGACAACGTGCTTAGTGAGAGAAGCAAGACACAAAGGTCACATATTGTATTACTCTACATACATGAAATCTCTGGGAGAGTCACATTCATCCAGACAGAAAGCAGACTAGTGGTTGCCAGGGGTTGGACGGAGGAGGAAACAAGGAGTGACTGCTACTGGCTAAAGGAGTTTCTTTTTGAGCTGATGAAAATGCTATGGGTGAGAGAATTGTGATGGTTGCATGAGCTTATGAATGTACTGTCACTGAATTTACAGTTTACAATGGTGAATTTGATAGTGTGCAAATGTCTCAATAAAAATTATTAAAATGCACGTTACCGACTTTCAATGATGATGTCCATCTCTCCCACTCCCCTATTCCATTCCCTTTCCTGCTACCCAGTCTCCCCCCCCCACTTCCTCTAGTGGCCCCACCAGGCCTCCCACGGAGCCCCCTGAACTGAAGCCCACTGCCCATGTGCGCCTGTCGCTCTGGCCCCGTGGCAGTGGACGCTACCATCAAGTTTTTCCCATGGGCTTCGGTTGATGGCGGTGTTTAGTCGAGGTGGCACGTGTGGTCTGGGTCATGAAGGAGGCCCCTCAGTCAATGCTTAGGCTCCTCCTGAATTTGATCTCATCCACCGGTAACGTGGGGATGCTGTGCTTCGAGGGCCACGCTTCCCCCCAGGGGCCCTTGCAAATACTGAGGGCTCGGGAGACAGGCCTCAAGTTGAGGCTTTGCGCCACCGCATGCAATGTGACCTCAGCCCTTTGCTGAACTTCATGAGTAGAGTGACACAGTGACACTGGCTTTGCGTGTTGTTGGGAAGGTTGCATGAAGTGTGTTAGTGGGCCTGGTGCACAGGGGTTGAGTAAATGGTGAGTTATGCCCTTTGGCCTGTTCTGGGTGGGCCTCCTACCACACCAGTTCACTTGGCTAGGCTCCTGTTATCAGCTGCCCCCAGGAAAATGCTAGGCCTTTGCCAGTCATCTAGTAGATTCCTCTGTTTTGTACTCACCTCCCCGAAGTACAGTCATACACAGGTAAGACAACCCAAACCATTTGGAAATGTGTCCAGAATTTGTTTTCTAAAATACCGGGGTGTCATGGGACATAAAGCCAGCCTCCAGGGGAGACATTTCACATTTCTCCTGGCCAACCTAGAGTCATCTACCAATTTCAACACTACAAGAGTTACATATATATTTTTAACCCTAACCTCAGACTCTGCATCTTCTGACCTTTGCTCACCAGTTGCTGCTTTTTTTTTTTTTTTTATAAACCCCTAACATCTCTCACCTTTTGGCCTTTATGGCCTTCCTTTTTCCTCAGTTCTTGCCCCTTGTCCCTCATTCTTCCACTCCACCTGCAGTTATTTCATTCTCATGCCGCCTTTGATCCCCACCATCAACAAAAAAAAACACAGCTAACAGCATCTCAAACTCAGAAATCTTTATTACTCATCTACTAATTCTATTACATTTATTGGGCAGTTTTATTAAGTTTTAAAACATCAGAATAGAAAAGTTTATCTTGTCCTTTTTATGGACAAAAGCTGCTATCCAATGTGGCACAACAGTGCTAGAATCTCCTATATTGCATAACTGTAGTATTGAGAAGTTTCCATTTCCTTTTCCCTCTTGAGGAAATCCTGCACTTTCTCCAAAGAGTATTTGGCAGCCTTGTCACGCTCTAGCTGAGCCATCCTCTTCATGGCCTCCCGCTCTGGCCTCTGCTCCTCCGTGATGGGCTTTGACATGGCTGGCCCAGAGACATTGGGTTTCTTCCATGGAATTGGCTGGAGGGCAAAATCCTGGAGTAGATACTGGTTTTGAGGCTTGGGCGGGGACTGGGGCTTGGTCACAGCAGTGAGAATGGGCTGCTGGAAAGAAGTGCAAGCTGATGTTTTATAGGTCACAGGGCTAGGAGCAGCAGACTGAGTGACGTTAGGCCGGGTAGGGTTGGTCAAACGTGGTCGGCATGGGTTGGTAGCAGTTGTACAGGCTGGTCTGACAGGACCTGTCGAAGAAGCAGGAATTGGTTGGGATGAATTGAGTGCAGCAGGTTGAGCTGAGTTAGAACCAGGCCGGGCAGGGCTGGTCAAAGCTGGTCGGGATCGTTTGCTTGAAGTTGGCCGAGCTGATCTGGCAGGACCTGTCGAAGAAGCAGGAATTGGTTGGGATGAATTGAGTGCAGTAGGCTGACCTGAGTTAGAGGCAGGCCGGGCAGGACTGATCAAAGCTGGTCGGGACGGGTTGCTCGACGTTGGCTGAGCTGGTCTAGTAGGGCCTGTCAAAGGCGCAGGAGTTGGTCTGGATGAGTTCACTGCAGTAGGCTGACCTGAGTTAGAGGCAGGCCGGGCAGGGTTAGCCACAGCAGGCCGACGCTGTGCCAGGGATGGTGGCCTGCGAGGAACTGGTCGAGCTTGAGGCTTGTCCAAGTTAAGAAAAGGCAAAGGTACCAGCTTGACCTTGCCAGGTGGTGGCAACTCATACTCAGATGGAGATGAACACTCTTTTTCAGCACTGCCATTTGTTTTCTGGTGTTTGACTTGAATTTTCTCAGGACCTTTGCCCTTATGAGTAGCATCCAACCATCTTGTGACAGCTGGACCTGGCTGGGGGCCTTTCAGATTACTTGAGTTTCCTAGGGCCCGGGAGGAAGACAATTCAATTTTCTTATCACTCTTCTTCCCTAGTGCATGGATAACCTGTGCAGACTCATACATGTACATACCTAGGCAGGTCCGAGGCTTTTTGAAGGTCTCTTGGGTCAGCTCAGGTTGATTTTTCTTCCGCTTCACTTTGGGAATCGATGGCTTCTCTTCATCCTTGTTGTTGTTTCCTGACTGCTTACTCTCTTCAGCTTTCTTGGAGTTGTCTTTGTTTCTTTTGTTCTTTTCCTGCCCATGGCTCTTAGTTGCTCTGTTCCTGCTGGACGCAGCTTTCTGAGGTTTGCTGTTAGAATGCCTGGCTGTGCTCGCAGGAGCCCTGTCACTGGCTGCCGCATTGCAAATACCCACTTCTCCCAAGCACACGCAGTCTGGGCTCTCGGGCTTGATTTTGGGCTTGATTCGGGGCTTGATTTTGGCCTTGGGAGCATCACTAATTGGCTCCGAGGCCCTATGTTTGTTCTTCCTGGCTTGATCAGAAGGAGCCTTCATGATGCTTGACTCTTTCTGCACCTGTTTCAACTTGATGGCTCTGGTATCTTTGTTTTTGATCACCTTGGGACCTTTGGATTGATCAAGGTCATCCAAGGGATGTAAGATCTGTGGAAGGTGAATATCCTCCACCAGTGTAGCGATGTCTGCAGAACCATCATTAGATTCAGTCCCACTTTCCTGTGTCCTTTGGTTCTTAAGACTCAGGCTGTTCTCTCTGAGACCAGCATTTTCACAACCAGGCTGCTTTTCTGGGCCAAGGGGATCAATGCAGGCCTGGAGCTGACGAATATCAGGGGCTTCTAAAGGGAGCAGTGGAGAATCTTGGTTTTCTGTTGGCTTCTGGTTGGTATCCAGAAGCTTTGGAAGGCTGGCTTTAATATCATCCATATCATTATTCTCTTTCTGTTCTTGGCTTGGAGATGGAGCCAGTGCCAGGAGATTACTAGAACTCTGGACTGGAGCTACCATTGAAATGTCCCCAAGCGCAGCTGGTGGATTACTCTCGAGTGTCTGGATATTTCTGCTACTGCAGGCCTTGGGGAATTCTGGCGTTTGTGGGAGACACAGTGTTTGGCTTGGAGGTTGCAATCCCAGGGATGACTCCATCCTCAGGGAACTCTCCATCGCTACAAAGGAATCAGGCATAGAAGTCAGTCCCTGGTAAGCAAGATGCTCCCAGTATCCCCAGTCACACCTCTTCCTACAATAGGGAAGGCATTTCTAGTAGCTCTTCTTAGGGATCATGGGCAGCGCCCTACACTGTGAGCTAGAGGGCAGCAGTTCTACTTCTTACTGGTGGTCATTTGATGTCGTCATTCCATGGTTTTCTTTGTATTTCACAGGGTTGTTGTGAATCAACTAAAAAGTAAAAGTGATTTTTAAAGTGTCTTAAAGCCCAGCATTCTCATAGAGAATCCTTTTAACTCTCTCCACTGTCCTGAAAGAATAAGAACACTTCACACCACCAACTAGGAAAGGGAACGGAGCTCGTCCTGATGACATGTATCAGCACGGACCTTCTTAGCCGGCTTGCTTTGGATGTGATCTTGGACACAAGGTCTCAAATCCTGGCATAAACCAAGCGAGTGAGGGAAAGTGAAACCGGCATCGTCACAATAAGAGTTCTGAAATACCTTTACAAATAGACTAAAGCAATGAATCAGGGAAGGGAGTTCATTTCAGTGTGGTAGTGCAGGGGGACTAATCAGGCAGGGCAGTGGGAAGGGTGGTATCCGTTGGTCCGCTCTTGGGGTTCTCACACATGGAGCATACATGGCTGTTATAGTGCCCCCCTTCCCATCTCTATCAGGTGTTCTCATAAAGACCCTGAAGTTGGAGACCACTCACTGAGGGTAGTAGTCCTTAAAGTCACAGCACTTAAATTCTACCTATCTGTGGACTCACCTCTTCCCAGCTTCAGATTGACCCTATTTTTGAAAGTTGACCTTATTCCTCTCCCTTCTTGCTGTGGGTACTCACCTTGAAAACTTGTGTGTGTGATGGGTTGAGCAGACACAGAGGAGTAGATTCCTGAGGTGGAGGCTGGTGGTATCACATTTGTGGGCTGAACCTCCTTTAATACCATGACAAATTCGGTTGAGGGACGGAGGCCCTGCTCTCTGTGTAAGAAACAATGGAGTTTTAGGATTAGAGCTTGGAGCCAAATTCTCCAGATTGCAGATACCCCAATGGGCCTTGATTATAGTAGCATCCCTGACTCCCTTTCTGATAGGCGAGAGACAGGCTACATCCCTGATTTGGAATCTGAGAAGGTACCAGCTGAACAATGCAGGCAGAGAGTGATGAACACAGAGGTACCATGTTAGCATATGAAGTGGTATCACACTGGGATGCCACAGACATGGGAGAGAAACACCTATGTCCTGGTCAATGACAGTGACAGCGAAGCTCTGAGTGATGATGACTTCTTTTTAGACCCACTCAAAAACACCAGGTTTGCAAGCAGCTGAGGTGGAGGTCTGGCTCCAGCCAGCACCTCCAGACAACTTAGTTGCGCTAGCATGTTGGTAGTGATAGGCACTACCCATGAGCAGTTGGCAAGAAGTGCCAGAAGAGGCTGGTGGCAGTAGCCATGGAGAACTGACGGCTGAAGCAGGGACTCTGGAGAAGTTGCAGACACTTTCTGTTAGGGAGGCTGCATTGCTTTACTACTGAAACAGAAAGCTGCAGAGAATTTGAAGTTTCAGGGAAAAGTGGATTTTGGAAATTCTCTGGGGGGAACAAGAGCGCGATGGAAAAAAATCAATGAGACTGATGAACAGATTTGAAGAATACCCTTATCTTTAAATTGTTGCTCTCAGAAATCCTCTTATACCCATACTCACTGAAACATCTGAAATCAAAAGTTTGTGATGGTCGTAAGTGCTGGAGCAGTTTTCAGTCCTTCCATTTCAGTGCCCTTGCTCCCAACTGTGGCAAAAATGTGCAGATGACCCAACTGCTTCATGTATTGTTCTCCAGGCTAATAGCAACCTCTCCCTGCCCTATCTTTCCCTTGAGCCTGCCCTAGTGTTGATTTGTATGCTGTTTCCTAGAATTGAAGCATTAAAAAAACCAGGAGCCGTTAGAGGACTGCTGTTCTAACATTCTAATTATATGAGTGAGGAAACTGAGGCACAAAGAGGTCAGAAAGACTTGTTCAAGATCTCCCATCGTTTTAGTAGTATCCCAGGTTACATAACCTCAGCATCCTGACTGCCTTATGAGGATTGTGCTCAGAGCATTACACAGCAATAAACTGGGAGCAGTACCACTTCTAGTATCACTGGTTTTTTGCCCCTGAGAAAACAGTGCAGCTATTACCATTGTTATCTTTAGGGTCTCATGTTGCCCGAACAGTTCACATGCCCTCCCCTGGAATTCACATGTATCTCAGTCCAGTTGGTAAATTAAAAGGTCATTCTTACTCTCTGGCAGCCTGCTTTCTAGTTCTACATCAATATAGTCATGTCTGACAGTGAGATTCTCAAGAATTGTTATTTTTCTTAAAGAACATCATTTAAACTCAGAGGTTTGGGGTATTCAACTATAAAGTGGCTATGATAATAACAGCAATAATTCATGCACAAGTGTTAATTTAAATACAATTTATAAGTTCTGAAAAAAGAGAAAAAAATCCCCCAAAACGTATCAGAATAAAAAAGACATACATAGACAGTAATAAACATTGGGGCATATAGACATTCAGAAGATGGCAGCCAAGTGTGTGGGAGCTGAGTCCACTTGCTCTTGCACCCACCTTGGGCACTTAACTGATGTTCCAAAAAGCAAAGTGAACAGTCAACGGAACCTTAGCTGATACAAAGTTTGGAAGCCAAAGACGACAGAGGACACTTCAAAACAGGCACATACAGATGCAGCGGGAGTTGAGATACCAGTCAGCCAGCTGGAGGGGAGAACCCACCAATGAATGAGCCACCCACAAGCAAAGCCCAAATACAACAAGAGAGCCCACACAAACTGAATAAAGGGCATCCAGCGCAGGAGACAAAAGCAACCGTCCCACTGAGTCCCACAGAACTACCTCAGAAGTCCACCCCATGAAAACAGGCAGGCAAAGCAGAGCATCCTGATTTGCAGAAACAAACAAAAAGTGTCACCTAAAATGGGGAGACAAAGAAAGAACCCCCAACAGAAAGGAATGGAGGAATCCCCAGAGAAAGAGCTAAATGAAATCGAGGCAAGCCATCTATCAGACACAGAGTTCCAAAAAATGGTCATGAGGTTGCTCAAGAAACTCAGTGACAACTGCAAGGAACTGAGTAGGAACTACAGCAGCATGAAAAATGAAATAGAAACTATGAACATGAAAAGGGAAGAAATGAAGCATACATTATCTGAAGTGAAAAATACACCAGAAAGAATTCAAAGCAGACTGGAGGAAGCAGAACACTGAATCAGTGAGCTGGAAGACAAGGTAGAAAGAAATATCCAGGCAAAGCAACAAAACTAAAAAAGACTAAAAAATCGCAGGTATAGTTCAAGGGAACTTCAGGACAACATGAAACGGAACAACATTCACATCATAGGACTATCAGAAGGAGGAGAAAAGCAGCAAGAGGTAAAAACCTATTTGAAAAAATAATGATGGAAACTTCCCTAACTTGGTGAGGGGATAAGTCATGCAAGTTCAGGAAGCTCTGAGAGTCCTTAGCAAGATGAACCCAAAGAAGCCTACTCCAAGACACATCATAATTAAAATGCTAAATCTTAAAGATGAGAGAATCTTAAAGGCAACAAGGAGAAACAGTATCATACAAGGGAGCTCCGATAAGGTTAGCAGCTGATTTTTCAACAGAAACACTATTTTATACATGCAATATAATAACAGAGAATATTGTTTATTCTATTTTAGTGAATAGTATTAACAAAAACAAAAAACAAAAACAAAACCCAGCCCACATAGAGATCACTTTCAATGAATTACTATCCAGGGCATACACAGAGAGAAAATATTTGGTAAAAATCGCATAACAAGCAGCAAAATGCAATAAAAGGCGATGTATCAGCAGTCCCAATATGTGAAGACAGTGAAAACTGGTAGAAAGCAGAAAGCAAATTAAGTGTACAGGAATTCCATTATTGTGCTCATTCATGTTCACCTGAATATTACCCAGCAAGTAATAGTGAGTCCAGTAGAAATATATATCCCAATAAATATAACCATGTGGCAAACACAGGAGAACACTTGTTTAAAAGTATGAAGGTTTTTTATATTAATCTTCAAACATAGGTGATAATCGTTCTCAACACCCAGGAATGCGTCGCGCCCAAAGACTTAAAAACCATCATCATTACACTCCAATAAAAACAATTTAATGCAGGAATCCCCAGAGGACTCCAAAAAATTGTTTTTAGGTAAATTTGAAATTGGACATGTGGGACTTGACTTTGTTTTCTTAGGCAGCTGAGATGTAAAAGAGATGATAGCTGTTTATCAGTGTCCTCTCTAGGTTTGGAAGAACATAGCTGTAAAAATGAAAACCAGCTTTCACTCAAGACATACTTATAACACAAAAGAATTACTCTTTCTGATTCAAGGTAGGATATATCACTTAAGAATTTAAAATTGTTTTAACAGGCAGAACCTCTACATAGTTTAAAAATGAGAAAGACGTGAAATACTGAAAATGCTGTTTCCTCCGGCCCCCTAGAAAACCACTTTGTTAATTTCTTATTTATGGGAAATATCATTCCTAAAATATAGTTGGTAAATGTTTACATTCAAAACTGTCAAGTGTCATCTGTGTTCAGAGAGGTGATTAAAAAAAACACAACTGAATGAGTTTTTTAATAAGGTGCTTTGCCTTCTGATACCCTCTTCTGGCCTTACTTTCCTTCTTTCCTAGTCTATAAATGTAAGGATTTGCTCAAATCAGCGTTGTTTTTTGTTTGTTTGTTTTTTGTCCTACTCTGAGCAGATACCCTATGCTCTTTCAAGCTTTAAAATACTTAGTTCCCTTCAATATTCCATTACAAACTGCCCTTTTTGCATTTGAGAACTTCTTCATGCTGTCCCTCTTCATTCTTAGAATTTACCCTCCTTCATTCTTGTATATAGCACCCCCCTTGCTTCCCCTGTTAGTCTGTGCTATTAAAACAATCCTAAACTATTTTAAATATAAACACTGGCCCCTCATAGTCCAGTACTCTGCACCCTCTCTTCCTATTTTCTCTTTTCACCTAGTTTGGACAGAAAACCTGCCAAAACAGGTGAATATTACTTTTTGAAGGATATTAAAAAAACAAAACAAAACAGGTGAGTATTACTTTCTGGAGGGTACTAAATAAAATACTACAGTTAAACCATTATTGGAAGGAGGCCATTACACATGAGGCATCCTGTGTATATATATTGCTAGTATTCTACATCACTTAGGTTTCTCTCTGTTTCTGTTGAAATACTATCAAGAAGTCTAGATTTCATTTTCTATAGGGGTGTCCTTTAGGACTCAATATTGTAAAAAAAAAAAAAGATTAGAGAACAATCAATAAATCAATGTAATATCCTATAATAACAAGTGAGGAAAACACAGACTTTGAGAGAGACTCAATGACTTGTCCAACATCACATAGCTAGTAAATGTCAAAATCAAAACTGAAATTAGGTCTCCAGATAACTGCATCAACACTTGTCCCCTTTGTTTTGTGCTGTTTTGACTCTACTGCTAAATTGAAGGTCAAAAAGTACCTAATGAAAACCTGTAAAAAGTTTCTTTCCTTACCTGATATTCTCAAAGAAGAGGAAATATCAACTTTTGACGCAAGGGATGTGGAGACAATACCAGATGGCTGATCGGCTGGAGCCAAAGAGCGCATGTGTCCAGTACGAAGGCCACTGGTCACACTGGTCACTGGTCACTGGTTACTGGTCATTGGTCAGTTGCGATGATCCAAATGTATTTACAAACAACTCCATGGAAACCCCAAGATTCCACCAGGTGGAGGTAGGTTTGGTGGGAGAATGATGTCACAAAGCAGGCAGTTTGAAGAGATGAGAGAGCCAATAGGGAGTCAGATTCCCAACAAGAAGACAGGATTGGGTGGAGGGAGTGTGAGGGGAGCGAAAGCAACACCTAAATGGCTGAGCTCTGGGGACCGATGGGGAAGTCCACAAGGCACAGGTCAAAGTCTCGCTGTCCCCAGGCTCTCACGTTAGGGAAAGAATCACGTCCATGTTTCTCATAGCCGTTCGTTAATGCCATCGACTAGTAGTGAAACTTATATTCTCTATAGTATATGGTATAACATCCATTTATCTTTATATATATTATTAACATCCTCAGGAAGAAAGAAACGGACATCTAGGTTGCACAATTATAGTTGATCTGAATGGGAAGTTTTATCAGACCATCTGATTAGTGAATTTACTACAGCTTTGGAGGAGCAGAGAGAAGGGCTTAGGAGCTCTTTCCTGTAACTTGGTTGAGGGTAAAATGAAGTTTGTTGAGTGCATAGGGTGGAGCATGACGTGGTCCAAGGCTCCCCGCTTTCAGCCCCTTCTCCTTGGACCTTCCCTTCCCTTCCCTGGGCTGGGCTGGGCAGGGCCGGTTTGGACTCGCATCTCTCTTCTGCTCTCCTTTCTTTTTCTTTCTCCATTCTCGACACCGTTTCTGAGGGGGGCTTTGATCCTGCATTCTCACTCTCGTGGGTGATGCTTCTGCCAACTTCGAGCAGCTGGTTCTTCCCTTCGTTGTCTGAGGCGTCCCCAAATGGTGTCTGCCCATTAGAAGCAAACACCAAAGAGCTAGGAGTCAGCTCGTTGCCAACCTTTCCTCTCCCAGCCATGGGTTGCAGTCCTCTCGACCAGAATTTGCCACCTGTGGCTCCTTGGCCCATGAAGCAATGCTGCCATCCTGTTCTTTTACACGGGCGAGGCATTCACGTATCTCCCCTTCTCTTCTCACGTAAAGTGTATCCGGTGTGGCAGTTACGGTAGTCTCCTCCCCCTTGCAAACAGCCGCTGTAGAATTTTAGGCCTCTAGGATTCTCTGTCCGCCATGTTGGGGTGCAAGGCCAGGCGGAAATGAACAGGAGAATAGTTAGAGCAAGTCAAGGACATTCACAGGGAATAGGGAAGGGACAAGGGGAAAGTGTACGGAAAAAGGAGATTCGTGTGGATTTTTCGGTTTCTGTGAGGAACACGTTGACACACTGTGGCATCAGTGTGTATTAACAGAACAGACGGTTTACGTATTTACAATATCAGCTAGGCAGTGCAGCCACTGCCAGAAGTTCCATCCGTTAAAGAGAATAATCTTGAATGTATTTTCACTTTCCTTTATGTCATATTACCTCATTTGTCTCATTCAATGGTATGTTTGTAGAGTACAGGTTGCCTCTATGCCCTGTATCAATGCTTTGCTTTTGTCCAAATGTTTTTTCCCAGTCAAATTGTTAAAGATTCCGTCACTGTAAGACCTATCGCATGTTTTCCCTTTCATGACTCTATTTAGTAGCATGATGACCTTACTTGACCTCATGGGTATTGAGGAGAAACTTAAAAAGAGGTGTGTGAAAAAGGCACTGCGGTGAGTTGCGCTGTGCGCCCAGCCTAAGGGAGAGATGTGAGCAATCAGCCGCCTTGGCCTGGGTTGCCTCTGTTTCTCTTCCCCTGGCTAGTGCTGCTCACGCTAACCACTCTTGTGGCTGAGTGAGGCCGAGTTGCTCATGATCTGTCCAGCGTGTGGCAAAAGAAGCTGTACTGTTGCTCGTGTGGAAAATAATACAATAATAACTAACACAGGAATTAACTCTGTTTCATACACTCACAGCTGGAAACCTGCATTTGTCCCCCCCGCTCATGGGTTAAGCTGCTTTTGGGGAGGAAACATAGGGATCTCGTCATTTTTTTTAAATGGTAAGCTTTAGGACATGCCTAGATCAATCTACCTCAGGGCTCTTTAGTGCCAACGTGTAGAAAGTTTGTGATGCAAGAGCCCACAGGAGGATGGCCCATAGGTGGAGTCTGCAAATAGACATGTCCTTTATAAGCCTACTTTTGCTATTATGACGTAAGAGTTTTTTGAAAGCGAGGTATGATGCTTCTCCGAGAGAAAATCGTGAAGGGTGTTGCAGTGTAAGGACGTGGCTTGAATTTAAAAATTGTTTGAAGGTCTTCCCCATAAGTTTCCTATCTCGCAGACTGCCAACTTCCATGTGAGTAGGATGTAATGTGAAGCTAAAATATATGCCAGACCAGTCTCTCATTTTTCTGTGTTCCCATGGGATCAAGGGAATCCATGGCTACTGCAGTTTAGGAAGCATCGTGTAAGATGGGAGCGTGCGGTAAGATAAATCCTGGCAGCAGTAAAATGTTTCCATGTTAAAATACTCCATTCCCACATCCAGTTCTGTCTAAACAAATTCTTAATTTGACCTTCACTCTGTGCCCAGCCTGTATACCAATTTGGTCTCCATAGTTCGGTGCCCTTAACTTTCGCTTGAGCACTCAGCATCATCTTATCTTGTAAGAGCATGTTCAGTGTAGGAGGAGGAACGTAGAGAAGTTTAGTCCAGCACTCTGAAACTCAGTGTCAGGCTCTACCTTGACCTCAAGGCTTCCTTTTAAGGTTAGGGTACTGTCTTGTCCCACAGACCCACTTCCTGCCTTTCGAGCCCATCGGGATAGTTAGGTCTTGTCGTGATGAGACATACTCAGTCCATCTACCAATGGGCCCTTTGTTCCTTTCCCTTTCTTAAGTCCTCACCTAAGGACCTGCTGATTGATTTCAGAGAGAGGAGAGGGAGGGAGAGAAACACGGATCTGTTGACCTTTGTGACACCCCCACTGGGGTCCACACCTGCAACTTGGGCATGTGCCCTGCCCAGGAGTCAAACCCACGGCCTGGTGGAACGATGCTCCAACCAGTGGGTTCACACCGTGCAAGGCTTTCACATTTCATTGCCTTAAAGACTGGAATCCCTAAAGTCGCTACCTGGTAACTGAGGCCCTACCAGATACTGGTAGATTTTGTAGTGTCCACCACCACTTACCTGTTTGGTGCTCCAAATACCCTTTTCATCTATATTTTCCATTCTTTGTTGGATTGACTCCAATCCAAAGGCCTACTCTTTACTAGCTCCCATACTTTCTGAAAACCTTAATGTGCCTATGTCCAGATTTTCTTGTTTCAGCTCGAACCGAGTTTGCTCCGACGTCAAGCTGTGTCTTTTAGAGAATTGGTAGTATACGACCAATGCTGTTTTTTCAGTTTTTGATAGATTTATGATACATTCCATATATTTCCATGTATGTAGGTATTTGTACCAATAACATGTTTGGTATGCACATATGTTTGGTATCCCAATGGGTTCAAAAGGCAGGAAGTGTGTCAGTGGGACAACACAGTACCCTAAGTATAAAAAGAAGCCTTGAGGTCAAAGTAGAGCCTGACACTGAGTTTCAGAGTGCTGGACTAAACTTCTCTAGGTTCCTCCTCCTACTCCGACTGTATATTCTTTGAAAAATCCACAGGAATATTTCATGTTTTAGCACCAAATTGGAAAGTGCCTAATTGTAAGTTTGCAAACTGTGCTGTGCTAGCCCACATATTCTTGCAAATAGCAATTTCCTAATATTAACCCATTTTTCATGGTGTGGACGTTTCCAGAATTTTAAGTGCTCGTGGATATAAACTTGGTTAGAACATGATTGTGCCCAAAACGTTAAAACTAGTGATCTTTTTACCTTTCGATGCAATCATGTCTTCAATCATTGACCTTTGTGACACTCATTAGACCCAGATCTCAAACGGTTGTGACGATTAGTAGGAGTGTATATAAGGTACTTTCAGAAATCAGAAACTAAAAAGTAAAGAATGAAAAACCTTTGCTAGTATAGTGATCTGCAGTTTAATCTGGAATGTGGGTGTCTGTTCTGCCTTCAGACCTACAGCAGGACATGCTGTCCTTTGCCGTTTCGCCGGTGGTGGAATTGAGAGGTTTTCTAACAGATACAGGTCTCCATGCCTGACGCTGTGTGGAAAACTGAGATCTGAGCTTCACTCTCATGTCTCTCAGGTATTGTTATTTTCTAAAGCGTAAGCACATAAAACCTGACACATGATAGGAACCATTAAAAGCTTCATTGTGAGTGGGAATATAGGTTAAGGCTTTATTTTGGGGGGATAATTAAGCAGTATCTTTCACAGTTTTAAGTTTGCATATCCTCCATTCCAGAAATTCTATTTTTAGGAATTTAGATATAGGTGTATAGAAGTTTAAGGATGTTCACATTGCAGCCTGTGTGAAGTGGAGGAGGGAAAAACTGAAAATGAAACTGAAAGTGCATCAGTATTGGACTGGCTCTATAAGTTATGGTACTTATTACAACCAGTGGACTAGGATGTGACCATTGCAAACAATAGAATATACATTTAAGTGGACTGAATTGCCAAATTTTTTGTCGATACATCGTAAGGTATGTAGACAGTGTGCTGCTTTCTTATCAAATAGGCGATATCCATATGTGTAGAAATAAATGTTTACATACACTATTCAGAGAGTGTGAACGTAAACACTTGGAAGGTATCTGGCATGACCACTCAAGGAGCCGGAGGCGGGGAACTTGGCTGTTCTTTCCACGTGCTGCAGTATTTGAATTCGGAAGGGTACCTGCAGGAACTGAAGGACCTGTACTACCGGCCTCCGGCTGAGGAGGGCACCCTAACCCCCAGAGTCCTGTTTGCTGCTCAAGTTTTCAACCAGCCGGCCTGGTGACATCATCACCAAGGGCCACAGCGTTGCCAGTGGCAGTGGACATTGGTATAGTCCTTTTGAAATATAACTTTAATTCCATAGAAAATGCTCCACATTGA